CAACTGCCTTCCACCACCACCGACTTTCACCATCGCCCACCACTTTCCACCACCACCGCCACCGCCACCTCCTTTCACCACCGCTACCGCTACCGTTTTCCCCAACCACCACCGCCTCCGCCTTTCACCACCGCCACTGCCACCACCACCACCACCACTGCCATTACCTTTCACCACCTTCCACCACCGCCGCCGCTATCGCCTTTCACCACAGCCACCACCTTCCACCGCCACCACTGTTGCCGCCTTTCACTACCACTACCACTGCTACCGTTTTTCACTACCACCGCCACCTTCTACTACCGTCACTGCCACCGCCGCCTTCCACCACCGTCGTCGCCACCTTTCACTACCACCACCACCGTCGCCGCCTTCCACAACCACCAACGTCGCCACCATCGCCTTCTACCACCGCTATCACCTTTTACCACCTTCTATCACCACCGCCACTGCCACCGCCTTTTACCGCCACCATCATCTTCCACCACCGCCACCGCTACCACTACTACTACCGTCGCCGCCTTTCACCACCTCTACTATCGTTAATTTAATTTATTCCATTTTAAATTTTAAATTGGTCCAACTAAACACTAGAATGGTTATTATCATTTCATTCCTATACATTTCATATTTACAACCGAATAATAGAATGAGAATGATCATTCCATTCCATTACCATTCTCATTCCATTCCCACTTGCATTTCATTCCATTTCTGTACACCAAACGTAATCTTAAAGTATGTTTACAGTGCATATTATACCCCTCACGTGCAAAAAACACTCATAAAGTTTCAATTTGGTGCAAATAGGTCCTCTGAATTTAAACTATAAGTTGACTAAATTACCCTTGCTGAACTATTTTATAAAATATATAAAATAAATAATTTGGTAAAATTACCGAAAAGGACACTGTTGTAGGATGCCCTTCTCGTGAAAAAAAAAACCCTAAAGTTTCAATCCAGTGCAAATAGGTCCCTCTGACAGATTTAAACCTTAAATTGACTAAATTACCCTTACCGAACCATTTTATAAAAATATATAAAAACCGAACCATTGGAGGACGTCAGCAATGGACAAATAAAGATAAAAATATAAAATGAAAATAAAAGTAAAGACAAGGGTTAATTTCACTCAGATCCCCTGAGGTTAGGTTATATTTTCCCTAAATGAAGATTTTGTTTTAAATTTGCACTCATATTTGAATTAGTGACTTAACATTTTACTTACACTCCAAATGTCAATTTTTGGTGGGGTTATAGTACTTTTGAGGTATTAAATGACTATGTTACCCTTTGACTCAAGTTGAATATTTTTGTGACCAAACTAACCCCAACACACCTTTAGTCTTCCCAAAACACACACACACATCCCATGGCCGCAATCAACAGACCCCACCTTCACCCCCACGACCACCATCTTCACATCTCAGCTGGCATGAGTGACCTAGAGAGAGAAACCTGAGTTTCTAGAGAGAAAGACAAGATAGGGAGTGAGAGAGATGCGGAACCTCACCGTCGTCATAGTCTTCAAAACCCACCTCGACGTAGTGTTGCAGCAAGGTGGGTCTGAAGCGAGGCCCGTGGACTCCCGAAGAAGACGAGCTCCTCGCCAATTACATCCGCCACGAAGGCTAGGGCCAGTGGCGGGCTCTGCCGCACAGGGCTGGCCTCCTCCGCTGCGACAAGAGCTGCCGCCTCTGCTGGGTCAATTACTCCGCCCCTCCTCTTTCTTTTTCTTTTTATTATGGCATGGAAGATGATAGAAACTCAAAGTTGTTTCCTGAAATTTGATTGCTGGTAGCTTCTTATGCAAAGGAGTGGTAGCTTCTTATGCAAAGGAGTGGGCAGCACATCTGAATGCACGTTGTGATTATTGGGCATTTAATGACATGTCTGAAATTTGATTTTAGGTTTTCTTCACAGCTGAATTCTGTTCAATAAAGGTTTGATCAATTAGATATTCCTAATTTACTTTATTAGTCCTTGTTCTTCAACCACCGTACCTTCACCAAAATTAGGGCTATTGCTTAAATGACAGTTGCAGAAAAAAGGATTACAGATCTAACCATTCTTGTAGCTGAAAATTCATTTTGAATGATCCTTACAAGTTCTTCGGTGCTTTCTCAGGGGTGGGTGAGGAGAACGTAGACGAAAGAGATGATAGAGGGGCGTTTGTGTCATTTAAAATTAAAGATATTTTGTATTAAAAATTTGAGGGTAAAAAGGGTCCATTTGTACGTGTTTAAGGTCAAAAAGTAAATTGGGATATAAGTGAAAATTAAAAATCAAATTTGGTGAGATTTGACTTAACCTTAACCTTAACCTTAGGCAGTTTGAGTGAAATTAACCTTAAAGATAAAGATAAAATAGAAAATAAAAAATAAAAATAAAATACAAACTAGAAAAAACAAAAAAAATTTAAATTTCGAAAATCAATGCACACTGATATTATTGAGAATATTTTATTTTATTTTTTTAATAGTGTTGATATAAAAAATAAAATAAAATAAAGAATAAATAAATATTAGTAGAAAATAGTAATCAGAAATCTCAAAAAATTCAAATCTTTATTCTACAAATTCTCAAAATTTTTAAAAAAATGTTTAGATATATATATATATATATATATATATATATATTAATAAGGTAACTTGCACATAACATTTCTTGGGGCATTTTAGGAAGAGTAAAAGGACAAAATAGATATTACAATACTAATTTATGTCAGAGCAGCATTTTTGCACAATCTGAAAAGAATATGAATATTTTTTACACACTTTTTTAAATAAAAAATAAAAAGAATATGCAAAATGTATTTTAAGAATGTTTTCTGCATTTATTCTATATATATATATATATATATATCTTTTGAAATAAGATTTCTTTATTGATGCGGTTTGTTGATTTCAAGATTGACTTCTTGGAACTATGGATCAGCCATTCTGTCAGACAGAACAAAACAAACTTATTTTTGTCATGATAACAAACTTCTTGGAGTAAAATGGTGGATTACGTGTTATGATATGACGAGATTTACACACAATTACAATCTCTCATAGTTACACACAATAATAGTTTAGTCTATAACAGAGTATATCAGATGTGACAATGTAATACACATAATAATCTTTTAATATCTTATATAAGATTGCATGGTAAATCAGTAGTAATATTATACTATTACAATCTCTCATAGTTACACACAATAATAGTTTATTCTATAACAGAGTATATCAGATGTGACAATGTAATACACATAATAATCTTTTAATAACTTATATAAGATTGCATGGTAAATCAGTAGAAATATTATACTATTACTTTTATAGAAGTGTTATTTCCATAATCTAGCTCCCTTTCGAGAAAATTTATGGAAGTGTTATTTTCATAATCTTTTAATATTTGATATGTTGTGTCCATTCAGTTTAAAATTTCAAGGTTGAAGTACTTCTTAAAACTCTGAACTGATTGAATTACTATACACTCTTTTGTCATGAAAAAAATTACACAATTTCTTTAAAAAATATATATATTTATAAGACGGTAGACTAAAAAATATGATTTTAGAAAGGTATTACACACAATAACAATTTACTATTATTTTTTTATAAGATAGTAGAAAGCATAATTATGTAAAATTAGAGATTTTTTTTATTTATAAAAAATTAAAGATAAAGATGATATTAACAACTGAATTTGTTCCAAATTATTCTTGCTAAAACATATATAATAGTAAATATTAACAGTGACGATGTTCTTGAAAGGAAGTCACAAAAGATGTGAGCAACTGTTTTTTCTTTTGTATCTCTATATTTTCTGGTAACATAAACTAACAAATTTTCACATGACAAATTTGTTGGATTAGTGTAATAAATATTCTTCTCACAATCTCACAGTGAATTGTTAGACTTATTTTTTTAATTAACCAATAATATAATAAATAAATAAGTGGAGTCCTTCACTTAGTTGTATTTAATATAAATAGTCAATTAAAAATTATTCAATTAGACAATTCACTGCAAGTGTTCGTATACAACACGTGCACAAAGATAATTACCTTCCCAAAAAAAAACTTTACCAAAGAGTTTAATTTAACTATCGGGCTCATCAAGGCCTAAGGATATCTTGGGCCTGTTTGTATCTTAGTAGTCCATCTGGACTCTGCAATTGTAAGCATAAACTAGTCTGTCAAGTCAGCGAGCTTGGGCCAGGCCTACTGGGCTTGTAATAAGCCTAGTCAGATTTTCATCCTTTTATCTTGATAAATGATTTTTTTTTTTTTTTTTTTTTTTTTTTTTTCAAACAATTCAATTCCTCAAATATTGAGGGACAGACTCCATGCATTATAAAATTGTTGATAGAAAAAGGGATTTTATACTATACAAAGATACACATCTATACATGTAGAGATATGGCTTCAACTATAATTCTTCACAACCTCTTGTTTGTTTCACTTTGGTCTTTAAAATGTCAATTTTTACTCTTGTATAGTTGTATAAGATGGTAGATCAGAGAGAACTACACATAGATTGTAGATCAGGCGCAATAATGTCAAGATATAACTGCACATGATAATAGTCTCAATGTGTTGAGAGAAACTTTTATGTTGTACTGTATTAGTATAAGATGGTAAGTGATATAACAATCTTTCTGTACAGGATGGTAGATCAGGCGGGAGGATTACATACAATAATAATTTTTTTAATAACATTATTATTATTATTATTATTATTATTGTATAAAATGGTATTAATAGTTGAATCTGTACCAAATGTTATTCTGTTTTGTTGACATAACACACTATCTTTCTGTCCCAATGTTATTCCGTTTTGGTTTATTCGTGTGTCAGTATTTCATCTGGGCCCAGAATTGAAAACATAAACTAGTCCATCTAGGCAGAGAGTTTGGGCCGGGCCTACTCGTCTTCTAACCCAGTCTTGATAATTATTTGATACTCCGTATATATATATATATATATATTTTTTATCAGACAATTCAAGTCTTCAAACAAACAGGGACAGAGTCTCCTCACTCCACGAATTTTATAAAGAGATTTTATTACAAAAATAGACACATCTATACAATTAGAGATATGGCTTCAACTGTTATTCTTCATAACCTATTCTCTGTTTCACTTTGCTCTCCAAAATGTCTCAAGAAACAAGCCTCTGCTCTCAATTCCTCGCAGTTGCTTTCCTCCAAATCTCTCTCAAAGTTGAAGAAGAGATCTCTTCTCTCAACAATCCAAATCAGGGGCCGCAAAACTGATCACACTCCTGTTGTTTACGCCGCCCAATCCAATTTCTTGAGAGGTATCAGCTTTTTTTTGAAGTTCTTTTTGAATTAATGAGCATCTAAATTGCCCTAATTTCTTTTTTTCTTTTTCTTTTTTTTTTTTTAACTTTTATGATCGTACGTGTCATGCTTGATTGTTACTTGGGTACCGTTCTTTTTGTGGGTTTTGATTAAAAAATGTTTGGTTAATGAATTGATGTAGATGGTTTAGTGGGAAATTCATGGTATATTATGATGCAGTTGAACATAATGGTATGGATTTGAATATTATTGTCTGGCAAATTTATGGGTTAATGACTTTAATGTCTCTTGATTAAATTCTTTCATAAATTACACCGGACTTTGGCTCTTACAATAGAAAATTTAATGTTATATGTTGTTAGGGGAACTCTATATATGTTATAGTTCAGGTTTAGATTTTCTTTTATTGCTAATTGCTGTTACAAATCCTGTGAAATAGTTATTCAAACAGCATGGAAGGTGGGAAATGATGGAATTGATGCTGGGACTAATCTGGTGCCTGTAAGTTCATGTTTTGTCTATTTCATTCCCTCCCTTTGAAGATCATTGGCCATATATCATTTGATTCTTAGCCAGCTATCATATATGTATCTGTTTTTGGTGTTAGGATTCTATTCCAAGACCAATAGCGAGGATCTCTGTGACTGTAGTTGCTGTGAGCATTGCACTCTTTGTACTCAAGTCTGTCCTGTCTACAGCTTTCTTTGTGCTGGTATGTTGTTAATATCTTTCCACTTGTAGGGTTTGATGATGCTAATGACATTTTAACTTCATTGTTGCATTTCCCTACCCCCCCCCCCCCCCCCCAGGAGTCGAACTTTAGACTTGTTACTTCACGAGGCACCAGGACCAAGTGACTTACCTATTTGAGCCAACCCCTTGGGGTTGTAATTCCAGTATTACAATAATTATTTTTGAAGAAACTGCCATGTGAATATATTATGGATAATATGATTAACAAATTAAGCCATCATTTTTCTGCGGGAATGCTTATCTCCCTTTGCTGCCACTATTTTAACACAATTAAGAATAAAAACACCTTGTCTTATACTTGTTTGTGTTCCAATGATGTCCACGCAATACCTCAAATGGAGAAAAAGTGAATCCTTATTATTAAAAAGGAGGGTAAATTACACTTAAAAAAAAAAAAAAAGAAGGTAAATTACCTGACCTCCCCTGAGGTCTACGATTGTTAGATTAAACATTAATCAAAACTGTGGTCAACCCCCAAACCCCCGAGGTTTGGCAGATAACATAGGTAGGTGTAGTTACCGCTCCGTTTTGTGACATGACATAGATAATATATATCATCTAACAAATAAAATATGTATTATCCCTTCACCACTTACCGGTTGTATGCCACCACCACCACCTCATTCCCGCAACCACCTCTCTCTCTTTCTCTTTCACAATTCAGTACTAGTGACTGTTAACCCAGTGATTGATTTTGTGGTTGTATATACAAACATCCATGGTTCCATGGACACCCGACTGTGGCGCATTAGTGAACAAAGAAAGGCAACGTTGAGGGTCTCTGGCAATGGGTCTATTGTAGGAGGTAGTAGGTCTGGGTCTGCATCCTCTGATGCAACTGTTGATATCATCAACTCCATTGACGGGTAGAAGCATAGCGAATATGCGAAATATATACGACTAGAGAGAGTGTGGAAGGGTATTGGTGGATGTGGGTTTGGTGGTGGTGGTAGATAGACTACGATGTGAAAACACGGGTAATTGGGGAGTGATGGAGGTTGGGGCGTGGTGGTGGTGGTGTTGTGGCAATATGGTGGAGATCAGCGGTCATGGAGAAATGAAGAAGAGGGTAGACAGATTCTGTAAGGAGGGCAGTTCAGTCTTTTAATTGGTTAGTATTCTTAGGTTTTATTTTATTTTTTTATTATTATTATCATCGTACTGAATGTAAAATCGTCAAACTCAATAACATGGTTTAATGCTGTGTAATTTTTGCAAGAAGGTTTAATCTATGGGTTCAAAACTAAATGTCAAGGGAGGTTGGTTATTTACCCTAAAATTATTAGTTGACACTTGACTCTGGAAAGTGATAAGGTTATCTTCATCACTAAATCAAATGTTCATTTGGTTTATGGACAGCAGGAGATAAACACTGATATCTCGTAAATCTAGGTTAAGGTGTGTGGTGTACCACACAGAGGGAGAAATATGTTTCGTATAATGAACAAGTCAAAATCCATAGATAGTCTTACTATAATTCAATATGCAAAAGAAGGATTGATATATTGTTCCCATTCAGTTTTTGTTAAATAACAAGACTTAAAAGGTATATTTATTGTTTTCTAATAAAGGTAATCCGGTAAAAATGCATGCAATGTATATTCAGAAGAGAGGAAAAGAGAGAACAAAAAACTCCTGCTATGAACATCGTATAGTACCTAAAAGTATAGACTATTAGAATCTAGACTCAAAAGCTCCTCGGTATCGAGCAACAAATCGACCTATGATTCAATGGTCTCCGCATCTCCTTTGCACAAGCAACACTAGATAGGGATGACTTTGCTGCTAAATCATAGCTCATCAGTTGCCTATCCTCCTAATATATCTCAAGTGTTTTCTTTACATCTCTTTTGCAATGGACTGGGGGAAGAAGGCACAAGAAATATGTGTCTTTCTACTAATATTTCAGCAGTAACTATCACAGTCTCTTCCAGCAGAGGGATAAAATCAAGTAAAAAGTTGCTCCACTTGTTCCCCATCGCAGTCTAGTTTATATATAATTTTTTTTTTAATCTCATTTTTTGTTACATAACCTACTTCATAGTTTATTAATGCAAATATAAATCACCCTTACGGAATGAAATACCTCTATCCACTTAATGGGTTTTGTTAAGCTGGTATATCTTTAATTTATGATACATCTCTTACAAGAAGCAGATATTCTTAACCAATGTCAGTCTTAAAATACATGATAATAATCAGATTTGCTATATATATTTGTTTATTCTGACGTCTTTTTTTTCTCCAATCTGTGGAGAATCCAGTGAAATCAGTTTACGTAAATTCCATAACATGTGGATAGCATCTCCCCCCAACCTTAACACGCGCGCGCGCACATTTCATTCATTTAAAGAATCGGTAAAAAGACATGACCTTTTTTTCCCCCTTGGCTCAAAGCATTCTGTTTTATGTACAGGCGATGATGGGGCTCATTTATTTCACATTCATAGCATTGAACAAGGATGAAGGCCCAAGAGGGGGCGGGGGTGGTGGCACCACTTCTACAGAAGACAGCCTTGAAGAAGCGAGAAAAATAATGGAAAAGTACAAGTAACAAAAAGGCAGGATTAAGGTTACTAGTTTTCAGTTGTTATATTTCATGTTTCCTCGTGCCGTGTTAAAAAGTTGGCGTTAACACATCACTGAAATATGGCGAAATATTTTTTTCTGTGATTATAAAAGTTCACCTTGACTTGAGCACTATAACTGTGGATTTTGAATTGCATGAAATATAGTTGCTTAACCAGAAAAGGGTTTAGCAGTTTGGATATTTTTTGGGGAGACTTCAATCTTCTATTTCACTTTGAAAAGAGAAAATAGTTCAAACTCAACTTCAATTTAAGGTGGGTGTTTTCAAACGTAACTTCAATGAATTTGTGACTCCCTCCAATCCCACAAGAGTCTCAATTTCAATTTTCAGCAGTACATTTTTTTTTTTTTTTTAACGAAAAAGTAATTTTTCAGAAAAATAAAAATAAAAATTAGAGAAAAGTATTTTTCCCGAAAAAAAAATAAAAAATTGTGTTTTCAAATTATGAATGGATGATTTTAAGGTCTAGTTTGGTTTTAACTTCGGTCTATATTTAAATTGCAGATAAGGACACGATGCATGGATAATTATCAAAATACTACTAAATTCTAGCTACTTGTTATGTTACATGGACTCAGGTACGGGTATGTATCCATGCGTCGGACGTGTTAAATCTGCAAATAGAAGGACATACGTACACGGCTAAATATTTATTTTATTTTCTAGAGTAAAGTAATGTTTTTATCAAATATAATATTTAATATAGGCATTTAACTCATTTTAAAATAATAATATAATATAATTAAATGATTGGATATGTTTTTTTTAAGTATATGTCCAACCAAAAGTGTTGGATACATATCCCATACCGACACGAGTACTTCACTATTCTAAAAGAGTCTATGTAGCAGTGGCCACTTGTTAGTTAATTAGTATTCCCTCCGGTCCAAAATAATTAGCCCAAAAATATTATTGATTTTAAAATACCACTTGTAAACTTGGTAACACATTGCCATTTTGTGAAAAAATGCTTACTTATTATCGTTTGCTTTAGTACCCTATTACCAATTACTCCTGTCATTATGTGAAAATCCAATAGATGGTATATTCAAAATTCTGACGACTTGGTTTGGTGATAACCATCATTAAATGATGCTGAAAAAGATTGAACTAACAGTGAAAATGAAGTCAAATTATAACCATATATGTTAAAAAAAAAAAAAAAAAAAAAAACCCAAAAAATAGAAAAACTACGAAATTGAACCTCAAGAAAGCTTGTAAACTTTAATTAATTTGTAGAACAGATTACAAATATCAAGTTTTAAAACAAAATACACATATTGATCTGATTCTTCTTGAAATTAATCACAGGATTTTTTCGGAAATTGAATTGCCATGTACCTCCTGTATTTCTATTTCTGTCAAATAAGGTAAAACCTATTTGTGTCAATGTCATCCGATCCACATTGTATTGTCTCTGGATTTCTGACAACCTTCATTACAGTACCATAATATTAATACCATTAGTTTCCTCCAATATACCATGTTAATTTAAATGAAATATAATAAAATAAATAAATTATGGTTTTCATCTGTGTACCACAATACAAAACTATATGAATACTTAAAATAGGCAGAGTCAATTACAAACTAATGAGCTACCAAATTTTTTAATGCTCATAACTTATGTGCTTTGATGGGAACAAATTATTACTCATACAAAAGTCATGCTCAAAGTAAAAATGACCTGAACTGAAAGTGAAAAATGAACAAATTATCACTCATACAAAAGTCATGCTCAAAGTAAAATGAACTGAACTGAAAGTGAAAAATAAGCTAAAGAATCGATAAATCTACCCTTGCTAGATTTTAACCCAAAAAAGAAAATAGTAGAAAATAAAAAATCATGAATTCTCTTTAATCATTGATTATTAATTTTTAATATATATATATATATATAAGAACCAAAAAAAAACACATGACTATTATAAGTACATGAACAAACCAATCTTCACAAGAGATAGGTTCAACCCTCCTCCATAAAAAACAAAAGTTGTTAGATGATTGATTAGATCAAACTACCATTATAGCACACATTTCATGTCATTAAGTGACATGAGAGGCAAATGAATTTTTACAATAGTAAAGGGAGATTTTACAATTAATAAATAAATGCTTAGAAAATAATTTTACTCACAAGAAAACACAAATAAAAGACAAAGGTTTTTATGAATTTATGAATAAATATAATCACACAATATTTTTTGAATGATTTGAAATTTATTCTTCTCGAAATAAAATATGTCATTCTTTTCAAAAATCTATAAACAATACATAAAATATTATAGTCACCAACGGACAGTAGTCTAGCGGTAGCAGACTCTTATCTCTTAGAGAAAGGTTAAGGGTTCAAACAAGTGTATGAGTACTAATTAGAAGAAAAAAAAAACAAAATATTGTGGTTGCTTGGCATCCTACACAAGGTAGAATAATGGAAACAATATGTTCCCCAAGAGTCCAAGACTCAATATATGTTAAATTTCAAGATTACTTTAGTACAATCAAAGCATCTCCTCTCAAAGTAAACACGGACAACGAAGATCCAAAAGTTGTCCCAATAATAAGAGATGTTAAAAATATAATTGAACAAAATAATATATAATTGAGTTAAAGCATTGTTGGAAACATAGCATACAAAACATTAAGTTGTAGATGTTAATCTGTCCACCAACAATGCCAATTTGGCTTGAATCCTTACTTTCTTACTTGAAAATGATACTCACACCTACATTAAAGCGAAACAAGTACACCAACAGCGCCAATTTGTCTTTAATCTTTACTTTCTTACTTGAAAATGATACTCACACCTATATTAAAGCGAATCAATTAAAATCATTAATGATCTTAAATGGAGCTCCATAACAAATGATCCCCAAAAGGGTAGCCTGTTTTAATATAAATGAACCCGCTGGACATTGGACTAGGTTACCAGAACACAAACCCATGGTGTGTGTATGTGTTTCAGTAAGGTAACTCAAGCCCAATATGAGTAATCTTAACCCAAACCCAACTTTTATGTGCTTGACTTCATGGCCCACTACATATATTTAATCTTTTATGTTGTTTATGTGCTTGTTTATGTGATTTTCGTTTGATATATTAAGATAAAAAAAAATTGATGGATTGATGGAAGAATTGTGCATCACACTTTGTTTGATTAAGATTTTTGGACGAAACCAATTTAGCTACAAATTACGTTTGATTAACTCCTTAAAAAATTTAAAAATATATAGCATAAAATCTGCATTATTGTTGAATATTCACCCAACAAATATATCCATCAATTTATAATACAACCTCAAAACAAGTAAAAAAAACATACCATAATTACACTTACAATTGGATTTGAGTTAAAAAATCTCAAACCAAACTTAAGGTTGTGCTTGGTCTAGTTCCTTTTAATTCGAATCTAAATTATAATATTATTTTTATATATTTTTTATTTTAAATATATTAACTATAACCATTTTTTTTCTTCTAATTTCCTGTACTAGCAAATAATAAAGCAATCTCACCTAAAAACAGGTTCTAGTGAATGAAAGTAAAGAAAAAATTAATTTTGGTGATCAAAATCAAAAAAGAATTGCTTAATAGTGACAAACTCAACGTCCATTTTTTATTTTTCTTTCAATTTTAAATTTTGGTCACCAAAACAAGATTTAAAATTGCTTTGTTCTTACTTGGGTTCACAGTGACCTAGTGTCTTCGTTGAAAGTCCCTAAATTTTATTCATTATTGGGCGTCCTATTTAATTAGGGTTAAATACCAAAAAAAAAAAAAAAAAAAAAAAAAAAAAAAAAAAAAAACTATCCTCTTACATACAGAAGATGCAAATACTTATATGGTGTTCAAAAAACACCCCTACATTTTCTAAATTGAACAAATAATGTAACATTTTGCCAATTTAAAGACTGAAATACCTAAACTGTCCTAAGACAAAATAAAAATAAAATAATTTTGATTTCATAATTAAGGGTATTTTGGAGTTTTAATATAATTTTTTTTTCCCTCAGAATTGACCGTCAAGAAAAAATTTGCTCATATTTTCAAGTGTTTATGGATTTACATGCACATATTATATTATAATGGTATTTTTTACATATATATATTTTTGTTTTTGCACTTTACTTGTGGTCTTTAATCCTCATGGATATATATATTATCTCGATAACTCTAAAATAAACTAAATGACAATTCTGCTATCTCCTTTTAAATACAATTACTTATCTAAATAAAGTGCAAGAATTCTGCATATTTTAAAAATAATAATCAATGATTAAAAAGAATCCGTGATTTGTTATTTTATAGTATTTTCTTTTTTGGGTTAAAATCTAGCAATGGTACATTTATCTATTCGTTAGCTTATTTTTTACTTTCAACTGAAAGGCCATTTTACTTTGAGCATGACTTTTGTATGGGTGAGATAATCTGTTCACAATAATCTGTTCACATCAAAGCACATAAGTTAGGAGCATTAAAATTTTTGTTAGCTCATTAGTTTGTGATTGACTTTGCCTATTTTAAGTATTCATATATTTTTGTATTACACACAAATGAAAACCATAATTTATTTATTTTTTAATATTTTATTTATATTAAAATGGTATATTGGAGGAAATTAATGATATTAATATTACGGGAAGGTAGTCGAAACTTCAGGTAATTTTTCTTTTTTGGGTTACCAGAGGAGGGGACACTTTTTCTAATGTTATCTTAAAAATTAAACAAACATGAGGACAGAATGGGGATGATATATGGTCTTTCTCTACAACCTCTTGAATGTACATGATGAAATCAAATAAAGAACAGTATTAAGTAAGATAATTAAGATGTGATTTTCAAAGGAGGAAGAAAAGGAAGTAAGATGATTAAGATGTGATTTTCAAAAGAGGAAGAAAAGGGACAAGAGATGTGTTTCTTTAGTTTATTTCACTTTATTTTAGGGAAATAAGTGCTATCGGAAAAACATGGAGAAAGTGATTTAACAAGAAATATTAATATTTTATGTATTAGCAAGGGTTAAAGAATACACAATCATATTACAAATTTTCTAATATTAAAATTATTACGTAAATTTTATGATTAAAGTACAGTAAGCATAAAATCTTAATATGAATTATAGAGTAAATTGTAGTGTCTTATGTCGGTAGAGTAAATTGTATTAAGAATTCATGAAATCTTAATATAATTTACTGTTATGTTTTGCTATGTTCACTTAGTATTTGTATCAAGGGTCTTGAGTCTTCAAAGAACAAAATGGGTGTGTAAATTTATTGCTAATAATAATAATAATAAAATTATTTGTGTGAATTTAAATCTTAGAAGCAATGTTTTCTACCAAGAGAAAAAATAGATTGGATAATAGAACATTATACTCATCAATTAATTGATCCGACTCTTAACCGTGATAGCCAGTGAAACTATGACTTCATTGATCTCTGAAATTTGTTCATTTTCAATTTTACTTTGACTTTCTTTCCTTTAAAACCAGATTTATCACCTTCTCATTTGAATGGAGAGGAAGGAAAGAAAAAGCAAGTAGTTCATAGTGTGTCCGTTATAATATTGAGGCCGCCATAAAATCTATAGTGTATGCCATTGAGGAACTTATATCCTACAAGTCATTGAAGAAGTACATGACACTACTCTTAAGTGGGACGAGAGACTATATATACTCAGTGATGAATTATGAACGCCTTAAAAAGCTCCACACTTCTATCCTAGTCAAACAAAAAAAAAAAAAAAGTTACATTATATCAAATTAGCTTTTATTTAGAAGTTCATTTTGTATTTTACTCATCCTATAAATGTAAGTCATTTAAGTGTTCCTCTTTATTTATTTATTTATTTTTTTAGCTGGTAGTATCTATTCTAAATTTGCCCAAGATATGTAAACTTCTACGCAAGTACAAAAAAATAAAATAAAAAATCTATACATAAAAAAAAAGAAAGAAAGCGGCATGTCTCTTTTATTACTGTATTATTGAAACATCTACTGAAATGTAACATGTGAGGCCATTTCTTCATGTCTAACCTCTGCTTCTTCAAAACTCAAAAACAGACTCTCCCACATATCCATCTTAATTTCATCTCTCCATATATCTATCTATAAATGGAGAGACAGATCAAGCTTCTGATCTTTATCCCTATCATCACTCTGATTCGCTTTCATTTGTTGCGACGACCCTCCATCAAAGCCATTGCACCTTAAACTCCTCTGCCAATTCAAATAGCTCTGCTCATCCTCTTCCATTTGATATGGATTTTTCAAACAATTTCCACGGTAAAACACCATATTCTCGAATCGTGGCGCGCCACTTGATCCAAACCGATCGGAGAATTGTTGGCCGGAAAATTGACTCTGATTAGCAGCTGCATGTGCTGTTATGTAGAGTGAAGGACTGAAAAGGCCAAGATGATGATGGTTTGGAGCAAAAACAAGTGATGGCGGCGGAGGAGGCGCAAAGGAGTTGCTCATTGCATATTCTGATGCTCTTTTCGCCTTCCTCACCGCAGTTCTCTCCTTCTTGTGTGCATTTTGATGACCTCCCAAAGCTTGTGAACTGTGAAACTTTCTCGAACAAAAGAAACAAGGAAACACTCTTGTCGTTGTTGTGTCTTCTCCATTGCTTGTCATACCATTCATTATTACCTTTCCTTCCTCTTCCATATCAGCTGTAACAGAAAAGAATAGATGTTAAAATCTAAAACCATGCACAATTCAACCCATTTGAGAAATAGTATATAAACACACACACACACAAATATATATATATATACATATATATGAAGGAACCATCAAAAGGAGGGAGAAGAAATGAAAGAGCAGAATGGCAGAGGAAAAGAACAGAATGAACCAAATATACAGACTTTGAACTTGGGTTTTTGCTCTGATCAAAAGAGGGGGTAGTGGAGAGAGTTCAGAAAGTAAGTTTTGAAGAGAGTTGGAAAATGTGAAGAGGGTACTGTGTATCTGTGTGTATAATTATTAAAAAGAGTGCTCGACACAAGATGGTGTTATGGGCTTGGGAACAGTAAGAGATAAGAGGGAGAGGTAAGTGGGTGAGTATCCTTCAATACGTTTCTGCATGCTGAGGTAAAGAGAGTGATTGGTGGGGAGAGAGATGTGTGGATTGGGAAATGGAATCTCTCTCTCTCTCTCTCTCTCTCTCTCTGACTCTCTGACACTGTTTATCGGTTTCATGGGCACTTGGGTTTTCCTCTTGCAAGCCCTTTTTTACTCTCTTTGTTGGTTAGTTTGAGTTTGTTTGTTTCACATCATCAATTCATGTTTGTCACTTTGGGCATCTCATTAATTATGTACTAATCACATGAAACCACTCACCTGCACCCTTTAATTAAGGGCAGTTTTGACTATTCATTCACTTTGATTTTGTTTGATACAACAAAGTCAAAATTTCAAAGTTATCAACACCATCAATTGACGACTTCTTGTTTTACAGTGAAGGAGTCACTTGCTTGGCTTGAGAGGGCTTGAGCTAAGATGGGTACACAAATTACTTGACCCTTTCTATAAAAACTATTTATTTTTCTTGATTAAAGAGAAGTAAAAAAAATTTATCTAATTTTTTTTTTTTTACTTTTTATTAGAAGGATATTACGTGTCAAAATATCGGAAGTATTGTAAATTTTATCATAAATTGATCATCTTAAAGCTAGAGAGAGTGGGCTACTAGGTGGATCAGAGAGTAGTTGCCTTAGTATTCAGCATCTCTGCGTGACAATGGCTTGTTCTGCCTTGGTCTGCTTTAAAAATAAGTACTAGTTATGGGGCATACAGCCACTAGACCCCTCTCCCTGTATTCTCTGACATCTCCACCGCCAATGCAACTTGTCACCTTTTCCATCTATTCGTTACATGCACCGTAACTTCACGTCATGCCCCCACCATTAACTCAACCTTCTCCTTTTTATTTCTTCCTTCCTTAACACTTGGCGCGCATTAAGGGTTACAACACCACTGGTCCTGGACCTCCTGGTATGGGACAACTCCTCCTACCCTTACCCTACTACTTATGTCCACTTTTAAATAAATAGAGAGAGAGAGAGAGAGAAACAAAACTGCAAGTAACATGTCGCATGGTAAATACAATAAACAAATGTTTCTATAAATTGAAGTTACAGTTTACACAAGTATATGGTATAGAGTTGAATACAATAAAAATATACCCAAACCACCCTTAACTCTTAGAATTTTGAATTCGAGATGTCCCTTTAGCAGAACATTTTTCAGTAATCATATATACAAAAGTTTTTGTTCTCATTGTCCTTGTCAATATCCTTTTAACTTTGTTTTCATTCTCCATTGAAGAAATATGTCCATAGCGGTGTCTCCTCCTAGCATCCACCAAGGTTATATATGTCCATAAATTACATTTAGAATGAAGAACTTTCTCAGTATCTCCAAGTTGTAATTTTTTTCTTCCCCGGAAATTAGCTGCATTCTGAATTTTGTACAACCACAAAGTGTCCTTGAAAGTGACCATATTTAAATCCACTTCCTCCAAGGGAGTATTGAAGAGGACACAGACAGCAACCATTGCGCAGGGACTCAAATGTGCCTTATACTATGAATTCTAGCCATTCAGAAGTTTGTAATAACCTTAAGATCTAGCATGATATTGATTGCATCAACCAGCTTGGGATGGATGCAAGGACCTACTCCGTTGACAGGCACTTTTTATGTATTTATTTACCTTGACAAGAAATGCATTCCCACGTCACTTGCTCACTTTCTACTTTCCTCGGAAAGTGAGGAAGTACCACTAGGCTACACAACCTTTGGTCTTCTTGCATGCATTTGCTCTTTTGCTCTCCCAAAAGGTTGGTAACTTGAAAATAGGTACAATTTTTATTGGATGTTACAATCCTATGGCATCGCAACTAAGCCAGAGACCAACAAAGGGTAATGTGTTGCCCTAATGGACTCTACTGGGGTTGGCAGAGGAGTTGTAGACAGGATACAAACATAACCTCAGACATTAATTGCACAAAGTGACTACCCTTAGAATTCCACCCTGCATCCTCATACTTGAAAGACCAGCAGCTATTGTTTCAGCACCCCCTAAAATGCACCTGAAAATAAAATAGGTAGCAAATATGAAAGATAAATTTGTATTTAATCAAGGAATCATTCACACACACACACACTCACACACACACAAATTTACTAATTGGAATTTAAGAAAGGAAAATGATAAGAGAACCGAACCAAACAACGGAATAAAAGATCGAACTTAACGTGGGCAGATTATTTTTTTAAAACATAACTCTTACCTCTTTCCTCCTCTCTCCTCTCTTCCTCTAATTCTCGATTTTTCTTTTGTATTCAATTTTATCTTTGATTTTGGTTTTGTCTCTCTTTTTTATTTCGCAAAATTGAAGATAAAAATAAATAAATAAATAAATTTCTTCATGTTTTGCAAATACAGAAGCACAAAACCAAAACAGAACAAAAAAGTAAAAGAAAATAAAAACTACAACTGTTGTTTCTCTCCTTCAAATTTTGTATCATAAAAATCAAACAGAAACTTTGAGAAAATTCATCGTTTCTCTTCTCTGGGATAGCATTTTTTTTTTTTTTCGTAAGAGATTAATGTGTTTTGTAATGGCAACTCTTGTGTGAATATTTACTTACCCAAAAAAAAAAAAATCTTCTGCATATTTTTCATCTGAAATTGGAAAGATTTATTCTTGGAAGATTTATGAATAGAGAAAAGTATGTGATCTTGAAGAAGGGGCGAGAATAAAGAATTTTGGATCTTGTCTCTAGATTACTTTAGATATGTGTATATCAAGAGAGGGGATGTATATAAAGAATTGGTGAAGAACCAGGAGAGGAGGAGAGAGAAACGAAGAGGAAGAGAGAGAAAAAGGAAAAATTGGGAAAGAAAAGATCGATGATAAGGAGTTAGGTAATGAAATTATTTGACGTGGACAAAGGCACGTAAGTCGGTATTTATTTCGAAACCATGGCACTGAGTGAAAATGTTCAGATAGCAAAATCATGCTGCAGAAGAACAAAACTCATGCTGCTAGGAGTCGATTCTCTTTCTCTACGCGTTGTTCACATGTTTGCATGGCTTATTTCATTTGATTTTCTCAATAATAAATAAAGCACCATAATTCTGATCGATTCCGTTGTGGCACAAATAGTTCATAGAGTACACTTGTAAAGGAAGAGTATTCATGCATTGAAAAAAAAAAAAACTGGTCCACAATTCTGATTAATTCCATTGAGGTGTTAAATACTAAATAGTTTATGGAACATGGACGTAAAGGGAGTATTCAAACTTGTATATGCGTTATAGGAAATAGATGATATTCAAAACAAAAAAATATAAGGATTACACTGTAATATGTAGAAAGTGCTTCAGATGAAAAGGTTTGTTGCATGTAAGACATCAACTACCACCTCACTGAAAAAAGCGTAGTGCTTGAGAAATTTAAGTTTGGTTGCTTCACCATTACAAGCCAAAACACAAGCACAAATCAAAGAACAACTTACGTTGTTAGCACTATCTGTTAAAACTCACAAACCATTACTAAAAACAATACACAACTTAAGCCTCGATCAACAACTTACTTTTACATGATGCAAATGAATTTAACCAGAAGGAGAACACAAGGGATATATTTAGTAATAGCAACTTCAAGCAAATACAAAACCATATGACATCTTAACTCTCTTTATCGCAAAAAAATAAAGGTGAAAATTAGAACATCTTGAATTATCTATAAGTAGGGTGGTACATAATCATATGAGTACTTCATAGAAAAATCATTGGTTTTCATTGCAAACGATATGTCTCTGCCATCTTTCTGTCATCTTGTCCTAGTCGGTGTTACCTCTAACTTCCATTAATCAATTTCTTTCTCGATCCTATTTTCTTGGTTCTTGTCCATCTCAACACCATTGTTTTTATTGTACTTATATATACAGAAAACATATTTAATTTATAGCCTAAATCAATCCTTTCTCGTATGTGTATGGCGTAATTTCCCCTTCAACTTGACAAGCATGCGTAAATCACACATACACTTTAATCGCATGAAGCATATAGAAGGGAATGCCACCAAGGCCAAAGAACAATGTTCTCAATGTCCTTAGTAAAGCATCTCTCCATTACAGCGATGCCCATCCAATTTTATGTGAAACGTCATCCTCAATTGCCTTACCAATTTTTACTCAAGTGCACTGTCCTTCATATTCAAACCAATCTTTGCGCCTTCAAAACCAAGCTTCTAACGTTGTATTAAACAAGATCCTCTTTCAATATGCTGTCACAATCATTTAAGGCAAAAGGTGTGCTAAGGTGCCAGACAGCCAGAGAAGTACCATAAAACGCAAGTTTAAGCAAAGCGAGATATACGTATAACAAAAGTATACATTAGTTCCTAAATTGAAATAGTTTAAATTATGCAACTCAAAATATTAAATAACTGAAATTTCACATATCAACTATCGAGGTTAGCTATACAAACTTCCATATGCATTCAACTAAATTGATACACAATTGAAACAACTCACAAGATGCATCACAAAACTAGTCAAGATGTTTAAAACATAGTGAATTCTTTAGCAATGCAGTAAGAGGGCTACCTAAATCACTGTACATATATCCTTTCAATTTCAATTTGCATGTGCACCAATTGGAGTACATTGTTGTAAATGAATAGTAATAGAAAGCCTAGGATAATGTAGCTTTTACAAGTATAAAATATTATCATTAATTCTGAAAACCAAGCACTACATATCTAATTTTGGTAGTCAACATAAGCCTATTAATCCAACTTCACTCAACAGAACCATTTCCTGGCTATTTGGAGTCAAATTAGCCTATTAGGTATTAATCCAAAATATTGAATATATGATATGATTAAATAATACAATCTATTGCATAAGAACATAATATTAATAGGGCATATCAATCAAAGGCTATTTAGGAAAAAGGACAAGAAAAAAGAAAGGCATGTGGGTACTGTTATTTGTGTTATTTTCTCCGGCTCTTGAAAGGATGAAAACAAATAAGGTACAAATGGAAGTGGATACTGTTATTCAAGAGAGAAAGTTAACTACTAAAACATGAGTACCAAGTGTGCATGGCCAAAATCTACATGTACCTTGTCATGCTAATGACATTAAAAAATTCAAATACTGTGTCAACATTTGTTAAAACTACAGCACGTATCATAGCAATGGAGGGCCCTCCCTATTGTGTGGAAAAGGATATCGGAGTTTCACTCCAGCATTCCTTCCAGCAATGGTCACAATTATACAACACAATAACTATTAATCACATAATAATAATGATGATGATAATAAGAATAATAATAATAATAATAAATAAATAAATAAGATAGAATATGAAGGCACTTATAGAAGCAAAGATTGCTCGAGATTTGCACAAACTTCAAGTCAATCAAAATAAGATTATCTTGTCAAAATGTTATGGCAAACAGTAATAGAGGGTAACTGGAGAACCAAAGACCACAAAAATAAGTGCAAACAAAGTAATTTGAACAACTAAACAAGAAAATAACCATTTTATTCAAAGCAAATTGAACAACTAAACAGGTGAACTTTCACTCTTCTTCTTAATCTAACTACATCTTCAACACTGTATATGATATTCCTTATTTTATTCTCTCTCTCATAAAAGTCAGAAGAAAACAGGTGTTAATACAAAAGATATATATTACCGAGTAATGTACATCCCCCAAAATCTCAAACTTCATAGTATGTGATGTTACACACTGTGGGTTGTAGCTGTTTAGAGCAGAAGAGAAAGTGGCCAATCATCTTGTCATTCACAGAAAGGGAACATGTTTTGACCTGGCCACCCTCTGTAGTTGACCCTCTATTGATTTATATATAGTAACAAGTGATGATTTTTTAAAGAACCAATAATTAGTAATCTAATGAAATAATCCTATAGAAGAAATATATATATATATATATATATATATATATATATATTAAAGGAAGTTAAAACAAGGGCCTTATATTAAATATTTATCACGAAAAAAAAAAAAAAATTGGAAGGAAGCATTCTTACAACCATACATCAATTTCTTCTTGTGTTTACTAATAAGATTTAGATATGTAATGGGATCTCCTTGTGTGCATATTACCAAAGTATGTTCGATTTATTCCAAAAATACTTAATCTCAAAGTAACCAAGGTTGTAACCTAGTGGTATTTCCTCTATCCTCTTAAATAGAAAGTTGAGGGTTCAAGTCCAATTAGGGACAAAAAGTGAGTGCGTCAGTTACAAATAGCAAATATATATATATATATATATACATTTATAGATTTCATAACCCTGAATTGGAGATCAAACGAGAGAAGAGAAGCTCTTATATTTAAAAATGTCCTTTAGTCATTTCAAACCAAAAATGACAACCATACTAACAAGAAGTGACATTTGCAAAAAGTAATGGAAGGTGAAGAATGGTACCTTCCTCCGGATGGAACTTTTGTCATAAAAAATTTGTGCTGTGCAGCAAGTATATTATTGTTTCCAGTTTTTTTATCTTTCCAACATAATCTTACTCAATGATGGCTCTAATTTGTCAAAATCCAATATCTCCACAGGCAAAATGTTTACTCTAGGAAGATTCCAGCCCCCTGTCCCTGCCACATTAATCATAATTTGATTAAAGATGGAGCAATTCGGGAAGTTTTACAACTGAACATAGTTCAAAAACTGACAAACTGTATTTTGGTTAGAAGTAGATTACCAAATTTGTTTTATCTATCTCTATCAGTGCTTGTAAACTTAGAGTTGTGCACATACAGGCTTAACAAGCCTTTGTCTCCATTAAATATAAAATTTGACAAAGCATTCAAAAGTAATATAAATATATACACGCACTTAGTCACTAGTTTACTGTTCACTCAAGGAAACCCCTTATCCAGAGGTTATGGCCAGTGAGATCAGAGGTTATGGCCAGTGAGAACTTAGGAATTTTTGAAATTTTAATTTCATTATTTTCTTTTCATATGACAAGAAAGTTATAAAAGTAAAAGAAAATCAAGTTTCAACATTGTTTGTCAAGTTATTTTGGTTGCCCAAAACATTAAAATCAACTAAAACAAATAGATGTAGTAGGCTGTAGGCGCAATTAAATGGAGTTTCCTCCTATCAAAAACCCTAAGTTTCAAGTTCGTAATACTTTTACATTTCTAATTTTCTTTTCATCGCATTTTCCAAGCAACGACAGGGAGTGCTATAATTTGTTTTGTATCAGAGAAAACATAAAACAAATAAATGCAATAATATAACTGATTTAAGCAATAGTTAATCTTGTCGTGTTTTCTTTTATTTTCTTCTCTTTTCCGTGATTTCTCGCCAACCAAACTGAATTTTGCAAAATTGGAATCGTTTAGCGAAATTAACATACCTGACGAATTACTAACACTCATAGAAAGAGAACCGCCGATCCAATTCACCATACACATGCTGCTTCCCACATTACTTGTAACTTCGCGTTCGCCTGAACAAGTGGAGCTGCTTCCAATATTGTCCTTCGACGGCGACTCCGCACCGGCCTCACAACCTACTCCGGCGATCTATTTCTTCCGAGTCGCTTTCGCTTTTCTTGATCAAAATACACGGAACCACTCAGAAATATGAATATATATACATAGCAATATACCTCTGTTCATATAGGAAGATATGAACCTCATCGTGTATATACAGGTATTGCCTATAAAGTTGATTCGGTTTCGTATAACTCATTATTGGAATGAAAAGAAAGGATGAGTGAGACCTTATTTTGTATCGGTACTAAAATTGAAAGAGAAAAGGTGAAGTAAGAAAACTACAATGGAAGAAGGAATATATAGACCAAGGAGAGAGGAAAAATATTTTACGGGTATGGATGGCAGGGAAGGAAAATTTTGGTGGGGAATTTTTATAACGACCTAATTATTTTATTAAATTTTCTTTAAAAAAAAAAAACACATAAATTTTTTTATTGTCTTGAAAAGGTTTGATGCGCGTCCTTCTTTTTTTTCTCTCTTTAAAATAAAATGTTTTTATACATAACTTATTATACTAATATAATATTTTATATCCATCTAACATGTGCTACAAAATTATTTATTTATATTCTTACATGTTTTTATTTGTAAAAAAATACAAAATATTTAGATTTTTTATTAGTCAATCCAGAAGTTGGTAAATTTATTATATATTTTTATTATAATACAATATATTCATGGGCAAATCTAGAACTTCATGTAAGAGTGAACAAGACTGAAATTTTTTAATAATTTTAGGGAGGACATTAGCAATAGTTTAAGGATATTGATAGGGAAAAATAAACCTAACCTACTTTGACCAGACGCTAGACCTCTTCGACTTTTGAACGATAATATTTCGTTATCAAAGATAAAGATATCCATCAGATAAGAATGATGACTTTTCTTATCTAAGATAATGAAAGACGACGTGGTTCAACAGGGTAAGAATAATCTTGGCACAATTTGAGAAAGTTAAGGAGTAAATCATATCCTGACAAATCTGGCAACAAATGATCTCCTTTGATCTCGCACAAAAGTATCTCCTCTGATCTCGCAAATGAACTAAGGGAAAACGGTTATAATGAGATCCGACCAGTCGATAAAGGTACGACAAAAATGATTATTAAATCACTACCTTTCTTTTAGACCTCCGGTGACTGACTTGATCGTCCGAGAATTCTTGGCAGGCACCACACCGGTGTCGTCAAGTTTCATCGATCTTCTACTCTTTTCTTTGTTGGAAAACAGTGCCGTATCGGACCGGTGGATTTTTCCTCCAATAGTTGGCGCCGTCTGTGAGAACAACGATTCCCTTAAATCAATTACTCGCAACATTTTATCCCAGCGGGACCACCGCCTTAACAAGAATTGTCTGACCCATATCCTCCCAATCTAAATGATGGGGGACAACATGAGGAGGACCGAGAAAACAATCCTTCTCACAAGTCCGAGGCAGAACAAAGCCAAGTCGGAAACCGACACAAAGAACCTCATTTACCACCTATGCGGAATCCCCAGTCTTAAACAGGTACAACCTTCTGTGTTACGGAAAAGACAGAGAAAGTTACCTATTTCGACCTACAGATTGAGGATCTCAAGGCGAAAATGAAAGATGTAATGCAGGCTATGAAAGGGAAAGGTCTTGCCGCCGTAGATGACCTGGTGCAAAAGACCAACTTGTCGTTCAGCTTCGCCGTTATGAAATGCCCATTGCCTAGCAAGTTAAGGATGCCCACGTTCGAAAGCTTCGATGGGACCAAAGATCCCCTCGATCACCTGGAAACCTTTCTAGCTCTTATGCATTTACACGCCGTGCCAGATGAAATCATGTGCCGAGCTTTTCCCACTACACTTAAGGGATCAGCAAGAGTTTAGTTCAACAAGCTGAAGCTAAGAACCATCAACACCTTCGAAGAACTGAGTAAGCAATTTGTGAGCCACTTCATTGCAGGTTAGAGGCATAGGAGGCCGGCCACCTACCTGTTTACCGTGAAACAACAGAAGGAAGAGTCGATCCGAGAATACATCACCCGATTCAACACAGAGATGTTGCAGGTAGAAGAGGTGGACAATAAGGTAGCTTTGACCACTTTCATAGGAGGACTCTAACCCTCCAGATTCTTGTTCTCCTTATCAAAAGAACCTTTCACCAACATGGCAGAGTTGTTGATCAGAGCGCAGAAACACATGAACGCTGAAGATGCCATGAATGCACGGAAGGGAAAGGAATGAGAGGACAAGAAAAGGTCTGCCCCTCTCACCAGGGATGAAAATGATACCAGTTATAAGAGATCGTTCTTCAGCCAAAGCGATAGGATATATCGTGAGGAGGACTCAGATAAGTATACCGACTAACAATTGTATTACAACTGGAATTAGCCTTATCAAGTCATTCAAAATAAAGACCAGGGGTATCTCAGTTCATCATTTTACATGGAGGGTAGCTCCCTCACGTGTTATTTTGTTTTCCAATAAAGTCACCATCACCAATGAGATGGATGACCCTCAATTTTTACGCAATAAAATATTACGTTTTCAGTTACCTACTCATGTGGTAATATTAAACTCATATTAATCCACTTATCTTATTAAAGGGACGAAAGGCTAATAACACATTCTTCCCTCATTAAAGAGATAAGAATCCAACTACTCCTTCTACACAGAAGTGTGATATAATTAAAGCTTCCTTCATTTGCTAGAGAGACGAGATGACTACCTCTCGTATTAAAAGGGTCACCCTTCTTCAAACTACACCTCTTTCCCCCATAAAGGAACGAAGGGTCAACTTCATCTTCTTCCCTCAATAAGGAGACGAAGGGTTAACTACTCCCTTATTAAAGGGAGAACTCACAACGCTCGAGCAAATCTACTTCCTTTATTAAAAGGGGCAAGAAAATAATCATCAAGCATACTTAGCCCAGTAGGACTTGGCATTCCCGACGCTTGACAAAAATCTAATTCCCTTACTAAAGGGATACAAAAGATGATAACGAGTGTCCTATATTAAAAGGACCTGAGTTGAATGAATCCCGTAATCAATATCTACGTACTATAAAGGATAGTAAATAAATGTCTTGTACTAAAAGGACTCGGGCTGAATGAATCCTGTAATCAATATCCCCGTATTATAAGGGATAGTAAATAAATGTCATGTACTAAAAGGACCCCGGCTAAATGAATCCCGTAATTAATATCCTCGTATTATAAGGGATAGTAAATAAATGTCCTGTACTAAAAGAACCCGGGTTGAATGAATCTTGTAATCAATATCTCCTTACTATAAGGGATAGTAAATAAAAATCCCTTACTAAAGGGATGAGCTAAGTAAAGTTCGTAAAATTTAATTTCCTTATTAAAGAAGTGACGACCTTAGTGAAGCTCGTACAATTTATTCTCTTACCAAGGAAAAATTACCCAAGGGAATATTGTCCAAGGGGAAGAGTACCCAAGGGTATTAAAAATAGTACCCAAGGGAAGATTACCCAACAGTATAAAAAATAGTACCCAATGGAAAAGTATCAAAGGGTACTAAAAATAGTACTCAAGAGAAGATTACCCAAGGGTACCAAAAATATTACCCAAGGGAATATTACCCAGGGGTACAAAAAATATTATCCAAGGGTACCAAAAATAGTACCCAATGGAACAGTATCCAAGGGCAGATTACCCTCGGGAAGTACCAAAAAAAAATTAAAAAAAAAATGGTTACTGTTCATGTGAACAGTACTTGATGTAATAGTATCCGCGGGAACTGTTCCCAGGGCAAGGGGGGAAAAAAAGAGAAGAAATTACTGTTCATGTGAACAATACCCGCGGGAACTGTTCCCAGGGTAAGAAAAAAAAAAATTACATTCCCAAAGCTAGACGAGCAAGCTTGGGAATGGGGGGCAACTAATAGGGAAAAATAAACCTAACCTACTTTGACTGGTCGCCAGACCTCTTCGACTTTCGAACGATAATATTTCGTTATCAAAGATAAAGATTTCTATCGAATAAGAATGATGACATTTCTTATCCAGGATAATGAAAGACGATGTGGTTCAACAGGATAAGAATAACCTTGGCACAATTTGAGAAAGTCAAAGGAGTAAATCATATCCCGACAAATCTGGCAACAAACGATCTCTTTTGATCTTGCACAAAAAGATCTCTTCTAATCTCGCAAATGAACTAAGGCCATGTTTGGTGTGGGTGAATGGAATCAAATCGAAAGGAATGGAATGCTTTTCTTTCCATTCTTGTGTTTGGTGTGAGCTATTAAAGGTGGAATCATCATTCTCCACCATTCTTGGAGAATGGTCATTCCACTAAAATCATTCCTTCTCTTTACCAATGGAATGGGCATTCCATTCCCATATGAAACATGATTAAAAAAAATTATGACAAAAAAAACCTGCTTATCATCCCGTTCTAAACCAAACCCATCGATATCTTCCGTCGTCTCCCTCCGCTGTCTTCATCCGCAGCCGGAGACAGATTCGTCTTCCTCTCTCACTACCGCCGTCGGAGACCACAACATAATACAACCCAACCCAACCCAGCCGCCTCTTTCGTCTCTAAGTGCTCGTCGATTTTCTAAGGATGATTATATATCCTTTCTAAGGAGTAGTCAGACTTGTAAGTATACGTGCATTTCTGAACGATATATAATGATGACTTATATAGAATCAATTTTGAATACTTGATTTCTGGACTATAGGTAAGGGGTACTTGTCGTCTTTTATTAATCAATTTCCCCTAGATCTAGATAGACTCATGAAGTGGGTTTAGAAAGTTCCATTTTCTATTGGACTTTCTTTCTGTGAAGCTACAATCTCCCAGAAAACGAGAACCAATTAATCAGCCGGTTTCACCTTCGTCGTCTCCCTTCGCTGTCTTCCTCCGCCGCTGGAGACAGATTCGTCTTCCTCCGCCTTCCTCTCTCACTACCCCTTATCTCACCACCACCGCCGGAGATGCCCTCCTTGCCCTAATCTTCAAGACCTTGCTTTCCCAAATTCATTTCCGACGTTAATTTTTTGTTAAATTTATTTTCTTTTCTTTTTTAAGTTAAAATTTCTTTATTCACGATAAAAGGTAAATTAATTTCATTCCAACTTTTAAATTGTTCAATCAAACACATAAATAAGAATCATCATTCCATATTTACAGCATTCCATGTTTGCAACCAAACACTAGAATGGAATGGTCAGCATGATTCCATTCCCACTCTATTTCATTCTTGCACACCAAACTAGGTCTAAGGAAAAGCGGCTATAAGAATGAGATCCAACCAGTTGATAAAGGTACGACAAAAAATGATTATTAAATTCCTGTCTTTTTTTTAGACTTCCGGTGACTGACTTGATTGTCGGAGAGCTCTTGGCATGCACCACACCGGTGCTGCCAAGCTTCATTGATAATCTACTCTTTTCTTTGCAGGAAAACGGTGTCGTATCGGATCGCGTGGATTTCTCCCCCAACAAATATATATTGAAAAAAGCAAAAAATAGCATGATATATTAGTAAAAAAAAAAAAAAAATTTATTGTCCATCCCTGAATATCTTATACATTAATGCTATATATATTAGTTATCTACTTAGTATTAAATTTATACATATTAATAATTATCTACTATTAGTTTCATTTGGTTGCATAGTAATTATATTATGCACCATTCCATGTATTAATCATTATTCATTCCATTCAATCTCATAACTAGACATGTGAGTTAAATCCGATCTAATCCAAATCCTAACCAATTAGAATATGAATAAGAACATTTATAATTTATTAGCTAAATAAAATGGATATGAATTTGGTCGAGATCTATACAAATATTATGCGTAAGTGTGTCTTTTCTATAAAATCAAAGTGAAAAAGAAAAAAAAAATCTAAACAATCTGCAGAAACAATACAGGGATGTGCAGAAACAATCTGCAAACTATAGGTGACCAAATGAGAGTTTAAATTAATAACATCTATTGAATACGGACAGCCACTACAGTTTGTATGGAATGAACTTGGAACGATGATAACGTGTATTTGTGTTTGTGCCCAAATCTCGTGAATGGCAAACTACCCGAAGAAAGGTCGTCCACGTTGCGGAGCTGTGGGCACACAGTGTCCTGAATTTGTTAAAACAGAATATACAAATTGCACACACATATACACCAAAGTATGGGTGATAGCCAATAGATCCCAGTTACATAGCACAGACACAAATTTGCAATAATTTTTATTTTATTTTTTTGTCTGTCAAAAAATTTGGAGTTCATTTGGCACAAATTTAAGAATATTTCAACTTTTAAAATATAAGAACATAATAAAAAGCCTTTTAATGGGCCACATTTATAGATTTTTATTTTTTGTCCTGGTCCACAGTAAGATATTTGTTTGCCTGTTTAATGGGCCACATTTATGATATTACTAACCTTATAATCATATGACACCACGTAGGAGAGAGAGAGAGAGAGAGAGTGTTACAGAGAGTTTAGAAGGGGGGAGAGGAGAGAGAGAGAATTACATAAAAAATATTAGTAGTTTCAGTTAAAGGCTCGTCCTGACGTCCTGGGTTGATGCCGCCTAATTCTCGGCAATGTCGCTCTCTCTCCGAGCCCCGAGATTGAAACTGTAGCCGTAAGCGACGCTCTCTTTTGCTTTCTTTTTCTTCCATCCCACATCGATCGAACGCACAAACAAACCCTCATATCCAGTCCAACACCAAATCCGATGTTCTAATCCAATTCCCTCCGATTCAATCCCCAAAACACATATTATTTATCTTCACAACAATTGGAGCTGACGAGCTCACGACATAACAACGCAGAAAAAACAGACTACACTCGCGAAGAAACAGGTACGCCTTCTATTTGTCCTTACAATTCAATCATTTTTTTTGTTTAAAATTTGAATTTTGATGCATACCCATCTCAAGTTTTATCCCGATTGTTCCCGTATTTTTTATTATTTTCTCTTGTGATCTGTGTAATTCTACTCTCATAGCGTAGATTAAAGATTGTGCAATAATGTTCTGATTCGGAATATAATGATTGGTTCTCCAATTGAATCTGTGATGTAATGATTGTTGATGTAAATTTGATTCATTGGAGAGAGTGACTGCCATTAATTGTTTTTAGTTGCACTTAGTCCATTTCACAATGTTTCAGGGGGCAATCCTGTTGGTGATCACTGTCTGTGTTGTGCAGTAAACTTGGATATATGCAGATCTTTTTGGCTTCTTGATGTAAATAGCATTTGATTTGCTCAAGATCTCATTCTCAGGAGTAGCTATTGAATCATATTCTTCTTTACTTATAGAGATGCTGAAATTAATTAAAAAAAGAGAATAGTCTGTGGATCACAAAACTGAGAGGATTGTGCATAGAATTTTAGGCAATTGTCCAATCCCACTGCCTGTAGCTGTTGCAATCTCTGTTGATGGATTGGAAATTTTAAAATAGTGTGTAGAAATTGGGATTAAGTTTATGCGGGTGAAAGAAGTAATGGAGATACTGTAGACCTACATTTGGTGAAGTTCATTCCCTGTTGTGCATTTAGTGTAATTTTGAGGGATGGAGAAGTATCAAAAGCTATAGATGCTCAAGGCTCAAAGGTACCGTTCATATGCAGCTAAATAGATCTAGGAATATAGCTGAAGCCATGGCCAGTGAGGCACCTGGTCCTTCTGGTCAAAGGATACAGCAAGAGTCACCTTCAGTTGTTTCAAATGATGGGATATCAGTGGGAAGAAATGTTAATAATATATCTTTGCAGACTGGTGAAGAATTTTCTAGGGAGTTTCTTCAGGACCATTTTCTTCCAAGAAAACTTTCAGCTGTACCTGACATGGCTCAGAACCATGAGAACAAAGTCGCACTAAATAACAAGTTGGGGTATGAGGAGCTTACCAGAATTCTTGGCTTGAAGAGGATGGATTCTGACGTAACCGAGTTTCCTTCTGCAACAGGGTCTACTGCAGAGTCTGAGAATGGGGCTTTTATGAGTCAAACATGTGAAAACCCGAAGGAAGATGGTAATTGTGGAAGTGGGCCAACAAAAGCAGCTAATGAAATGAATTGTGAAATTTATAATAAATCTGCTTCTGGATCAATCGTTCTTCCCGTGATTGTATCTGAATCCTCTCAGAACCACCAAGTTTACGGGTTAGGGGTTTCGGATGGTTCCCAATCTGGCAAGATGAAGTTCCTCTGCAGTTTTGGTGGTAAAATCTTGCCTCGGCCAGGTGACGGGAAACTTAGGTATGTTGGAGGAGAAACACGCATTATTTCTATCAGACAGAATATTTCATGGGAAGAACTTGTGAAGAAAACTTCAGAAATTTGCAACCAACATCACAATGTCAAGTACCAGCTTCCAGGTGAGGATCTTGATGCACTTATTTCTGTGTCTTCTGATGAAGATCTTCAGAATATGATTGAAGAATACCGTGGGCTTGAAATGCTTGGGGCTTCTCAACGACTCAGGATATTTTTGATTCCTTCGACCGAATCTGAAAACACATGCACCGTTGATGGAAATACTAATCAGCAGAGCAATCCTGATTATCAGTATGTTGTTGCTGTGAATGGCATAGTTGACCCTAGTCCCCATACAAACTATAATGGGCAGTCTTTTGCAAGGCCAATGGTTAAAGGAAGGGCATTTAATTCTGAAAAGCCTATATCAAACCCAAATAATCCAACTGGTCTGTTGTTGGAATTGGATGATTCTACTGTTTCTCATCGTGGAATGCCACATGCCTTTTCTGATTCACAGCTGCAGGAACACGGAGGGAGGTCTACTTACTGTAGCCAAGAAGGGATGAGCCCATCTCCTCCCTTGAACCTTGCGAAAGAACAGTTACCTTCACTGGTAGTATCTTCTGTTTTGCAAGAAAAGCCAGTGCAACTGCGTGGGAGTATTGAATTTGTCAATCCTCAACTCCAAGTTAAATTACTGAATGTAGAGCCTAAACCATCCCACAGAACAAAGGATTTACTGAATTGTTCTTTTGGTTCAGATTCATTTAGCAGGGCTGAATATACTTGCAAAGATGCTAATGGTACTGGCGAGAAATACCACATGGCAAAAGGAGATGCAAGTACATACAATTTTATGATTCAAAACCATAATGAGAAAAATCCTTTCACTAATGACATGATGAATGGGTTTGATGAAGACCCTCATTCACATCAGGGTGGAAAGCTTTGCGAGAGCAGGTCACCTGCAACTGCCGTGGAATACACAAACAAATCACCAAACATCAGTCATGACCGAATTTCTATTCCTTGTGTTAATACTCCAACACAAGAGCTACAAGTCTCCAGAGGCATGGTTCCTGCATCATCAATGATTGATTTAAAACCTTTTGCGGATACAATGATGCAGCAAAACGAAAACCAGAAATTAGAAGATGTCCCAATTGAGCTCATTGTCAAGGGCCAAAGAACGGTCAAGGTTCAGCAGTCTCGTGATGAGAATTCTTCAACTGATTTACTTTGTGGATTATCCAATGACATAGTTTCTCATGAATCCTCCGTGCTACTGCCTGTTGCCTGCCAGAAGGATATGGTTCTACAGGAAACCATGCTAAAAAGCTTTGATGATTTGTACCCATCTGCAGTTAGTAATGATGCTGGCCTGAAGACTGACTTGAATGGGAAGGATTTGAATCTCCAAGAACCCATGCTTATAAGTACGTTCCCATCTGCAGAATGCTGTGACAATCCTGGTGAAATTTCCACTTTGTTGCAGAATCAAACCAAAGATGCTGGCCTTAGAAGAGATGTTTCACTCCTTGATGATGACTTTGTCAGTTACCCCGATCAGAAGGCCGGAAAGCCAGACCTTGGAGGATGCTCTAGTGAAAAGCGTAAGCTAGAAGAATTTCCAGTCAATAAGTACAGTGAGCAAAATCACCTGAAGTCGGTAGTTGATGCGGAAGATGTGGTTGATAGCATAAACCATGGCATCAAATCTTCCTTTGCAGCTGTGCCACATATGATAGATGCAACCGTTAGTGGAATTATGTCCCCTAGTGCTACAGAGGCCGAGGGTGGTGTTTTTCCAGAGTCTGACTTTGAGGTGATTTTGAATTGTTAGTTGATTATTGTATTTCTAGTTTTGTAGTTTTTGTATCTACCTTTAGTTTAGAGTTGTTTTTTTGTTTTGTGCAGGATGCCAAAGCTGATTATGGAGACAAGGATGAACCTTTTAGTGACGCAATGATAGCTGAAATGGAAGCTGATATATATGGTTTGCAGGTCTACACTGCTTTCTTACTTCATTCATGCCTGGTTTTAATATGTTTTCTCTTAGTTAACATGTGTTGGTTTTTTCAACGTTGATGAAAATTATTAGGGAAAATAACTCTACTCAGATTAAAAGCTCTTTTATTATCTGGCTTATTCATGCAGTAGGCCATACAAATTCTTCTCAAAAGAGAAACTATTGCTTTCTTCATGAGCATGAAGAATGTTATTTTTATTTCTCCATTTCGAATGTTGCTAATGATTTATTTTTAGAGTAAGATTACTGAAATTCAGAAACTAGTATATCTAGTAAGATGATTCCTGTCACCATTTTGTGCTTGCTTTTTTTTTTTTTTAATCCTAAATTTTTCAAGTTGAAGCAGTTTGATACATCTTAAATCTAAATCAGAGAGTCTCCTTTTTTGCTAGCTGTAAGTTCCGGCTCCCAACTTTGAGTGGATATAGGTAGTTTGACTCTAAGTTGGTTAGGGCTTGAGTCATATCCTGTTACTCACCAATTAATCAGGGAGCTGATCCCAGCCTTTCATCATTTAAAAAAGTCTAGTTTGTGCTTATAACATTGGGTAGAAAGAGAGAATTGTAATTTACGGACATTCTTTAACTTATTTTGTGTAGGGCATCTATTCTCTTATATATTTTCATGCAGTTATATGCCCTTCTCCCCTAATTCTCCAACTTTTCTGCCATGCTGACTTTTACTTCTTTCTATAAATTCGTTCTCTACCTTGAATTGGAGGAATCTTCTCAGTATAGATCTCAGGTCATAGAGCTCTCTCTCTCTCTCTCAGTTTCTTTGGTAGAAGGAAATTATACAGGACACAAGCTCATACCTCCAAGACACGTAAAATCGTCAAAGGTTAACTTCAAAAGGTTTGGCGGACACACACTTCCTCAAGTTCTATCCTCTTTTATAATATATAATGCAGGCTGGTAATAAATCCACAGCTTGGTTGCCTTCTCAAAAGATATGGGAAACTTTAACCTACACGTTTGCCTGCCTAATTATTTTCCCGAAATCTTAAATAAGATTCTAAATTTTCCATGGTGTTGCCTGCTGTTCAATCATCACAGTACTTGGAACATTTTCTGCATCTCTTACCCAAAAAAAATTAAAAAAATAATAATCTGCATCTCCTTCAACATAAACTTTTCAATATTGCTTCTTCTCAGCAACTGAATGACCATTTTTGTTGTCTCTAGCAAAGGAACAGAGATTTTCACAATCTACATTGTCTGAGCTACATTAGGCAGCACAAATTGCAGCAGAAACCATGTTCTTTTTTCATCCGTTACAATTCAGCTTGGTCCAATCATTTATGCCTTGCTGGCATCAACAAATGTCGTTTCCTCTTCCTTTGAATATAAATAGGCAAATAGGATTCTAATCAAAATTAGGAGGAAAGCCATGTTTATAGTCCATGTACATTGTGGTGGCTTCAAAATAATCCCATAGGGTTAGGAGAGCCTTCTTTAATTAATAATTTATTTTACAGCCTGAGCATGCCTATTAATTTAGTTACAGCATCCAAGTATTGATGACACCTTAGCATCCCTAGCCCTTGTCTTCCAAAAGTGGTTGACAATCCTAATTATCAAAAAAAAGAAAAACAAAAAGTGGTTGACAATCCTGTTCTCATTGATTGGGTTTGTTCAATTATTATTATTATTATTATTATTATTTATCATTTTCTAGATGTCTGCATAAATTCATTCTGATAAAATCATATACATGCATATGCATGTGCTATGTTATATGACTATGTGAATGTGGGTCAGCCTGTTAGATGTCAGTATGTATCTAATGTTGGATTTAGCAAATCCTCAAACGCAATGACACAAGGGAATAACTAAATAATCATATTTCTGAATATGCTTATTTTATTTTGTAGGATAAAATGATGTTCTTACTTTATGTAACATATACGTTCAATTTGGATACTTCATTCCCGTTGAAGCAATAATATAAGGAAAATAACACAATAAGAGTTTTATATGTACAATTAGTAAAATTGAATTATTAAATATGCTTGTTAGGTGCATGTCTGATCAGATACGTTGGACACCTTGCCATACCCATACTGAAGTGTTCATCTATCCTATACTGATACGTCACTCACTTAGAAGAGTTCATGTAACATAGTTTGCATGGCCTTATGGTTTTCTGAATTCATACTACCCGTCTTATTACTACTACATCTTTCTGCATGGCCTTATGGTTTTTTGAATTCATACTCCCATCTTATTACTACTTCATCTTTTTCTCCATGTTGAAACAATTTTTTGTTAGCTGACTGATTACTGGATGAATTAATTTGGCAAGAGTTAAAGACACCAGACGTTCTGATTATAGTTCCATTAGATTATTTAATTAGATATTTTGTAAAATAAAAGAAATAAATATACCCACACAATTATAGTTTGTAGCTCATTTTTTTCCTTGTTGATTTTGAGATCTTGCCAAGTTTTTGATCCTTAACTTTAGCTGCCATATGCAACTGAATATTTCAGATGCTGATTTACAGATCATAAAGAATGCTGACATTGAAGAATTGCGGGAGTTAGGTTCTGGTACATATGGAACTGTTTACCATGGGAAGTGGCGTGGAACTGATGTTGCAATCAAGAGAATAAAAAAGAGCTGCTTTGCCGGGAGATCATCAGAGCAAGAACGGTTGGTGGGTCCCTGCATATCTCCTTGTTGGCAAACTCTCTTGATGTAGTAGTTGCCTTTTCTCCCTTGCTCCCAAATGGTTTTCGTTGTTGTAACATGTCTGATATTTATGCTTTTGCCCATAACAGACTAGAGACTTCTGGAGAGAGGCACAGATCCTCTCAAATCTTCATCATCCAAATGTGCTCGCATTTTATGGGGTGGTACCAGACGGGGCTGGGGGAACCTTGGCAACTGTAACTGAATTTATGGTGAATGGGTCACTTGGGCATGTCCTACTTAAGAAGGATAGGTGAACAAGCCCCCATTTCTCTCTTGTACATTTGTCTTCATTTATTTATAACTTGATGGCATTCTGGGATTCTTTATGCAGATCACTTGATTGTCGTAGAAAGCTGATAATTGCCATGGATGCAGCTTTTGGCATGGAATATTTGCATTCAAAAAATATTGTCCATTTTGATCTTAAGTGTGACAATTTGCTAGTCAATCTGAGGGATCCTCAGAGACCCATCTGTAAGGTAATTTGGAAACTAAGTGTCTTCTGAATCCATGCAAAGGGAAGAGATATATGCACTTACAGTCTTTCAGTTTTTGTTAGATTTCAGTAAAATGCTCATTTCAATTACTGGTTTTATTTATTTACTTTTTATTTATAATTCTGATGTCTTTATTATTATTATTTTTTGATAAATAAAAATTTATTAAAAAAAACTCAATAGGGGAGCGGATCCCAAGAAAATACAAAAGACCCCAAAGGTCTCGAGCCTTCAAGGAGGCCAAAAAGTCAACAATTTCCTCCAACGGTCTCCCTGAAATCCAACAAAAAAGAGTGGAAAGAATCAAGAATTTAAGCACCGAAATTGACAACGCCTTTCCTTCAAAGTATCTCCTATTCCTTTCAAGCCAAATACACCACCACACACAAAGCGGCGTAGCCCTCCACGCATCCTGACTGTGAGCCCCTGCAGGACAACCTCTCCACGCCTCAATCAACCCTCGAGCGGATCTTGGCATAACCCAAGAAAACCCAAATAAGCTAAGCATCAAATCCCAACACTCTCTAGCCAAAGAGCAATGAATGAGAAGGTGATCCACAAATTCCTCATCACGAAGACACAAATAACAACGATTGACCACCACCTGGCTTCTCCTTCTCAAATTATCCTGGGTTAAGATCCTACCCAGAACCGAAGTCCACACAAAGAAAGCCACCTTGAGAGGAGCCTTGGAACGCCAAACAGACTTTTAAGGAAAACGGACTCCATGATCAAATGAGAGGCACCTGAAGAAAGACCTCACCTCAAAACGCCCCTGGGAGTTTGCAACCCAAGACCAACAATCCGAATCCTCCTCCACAATCCTCTGGCGATACAACAGCTCCAAGAAACGAATGGCCTCCTCGATCTCCCAATCCTGAAAGAAACGCCTAAATCGAACATCCCAAACCAGTCTCCCATTATTAAGATGATAACAGTTAACCACCATGGCCTGCCTATCCGAAGCAATCCTGTAAAGTTGAGGAAAGGCGAGAGCGAGAGGAACATCACCACACAACACATCTTCCCAAAAACAAATCCTCCTCCCATCTCTAAAGACGAAACCGAATATGCTTGGAAAATTCATCCTAACCCTTCCGAATAAATTTCCAAACCCCTACCACCCGAGGATCTCTAACTTCCAATGAACACCATCCTCCTCTCATCTCCCCAAAACGACAAGCCACCTCCCTCCTCCAAAGCCAATGTCTCTCCACATCAAACCTCCACAACCATTTCCCAAGGAGGGCCTTATTAAAAGGCACCAATTGACGGAGACCTAACCCACCATTCTGAATTGGCTTGAAACCTAATCCCAACGCACCAAATGAAACTTAAACTCTTCACCTCTACCACCCCACAGAAAATTACGCTGCAACCTCTCAATCCTCTCCGCAACTGAAGAGGGAATTTGAAAAAGAGAGATAAAATAAGTGAGAAGGCAAGAGAGGGTGCTTTTAATCAGAGTGACCCTGCCACCCTTGGAAAGATACTGCTTCTTCCAACCCGCCAACCTTCTCTCAAATCTATCCACTACTGGATCCCAAATCCCCACACATCTCGAAGGAGCACCCAGAGGCAAACCTAAGTAAGAAATGGGAAATGAACCAGTACAACAACCAAGAATGTCAGCAAAAGTCTCAATCTCAGGGACCTCCCCAACCGGCACCAAAACACTAATGCCCACATTCACCTTAAGGCCGGAGACAACTTGGAACCAAATCAAAACATATCTCAAATATCTAATCTGGGACATATTCGCATCACAAAGAACTAAAGTGTCATCAGCAAACATCAAATGAGAGATCTCCAACTGAGAAACAACATCCCTGTCCACCCAAAAGCCCCTCAAAAGACCTAACTTGGTAGCCCTTCTCATCAATCTACTAAGGGCCTCCATCACAAACAAGAACAAAAAGGGGGAAAGAGGATCCCCCTGTCTCAAGCCCCTTGAGCTAGAGAAAAAACCGGTAGGAGCACAATTAACAAGGATCGAAAAGCGAGCACTAGAAATACAAAAATGTATACATCTCCTCCACCTATCATCTAACCCAATCCTCTCCATCAGGTACAGAAGAAAGCTCCAACTTACATGGTCATACGCCTTCTCAATGTCCAACTTACAAAGAACACCCGAGAGCCCACTACGCAATCTGGAGTCCACACACTCACTCGCAATAAGGACTGAATCCAAAATCTGACGGCCTCCTACAAAAGCGTTTTGAGAGTCCGAAATGATGCCATCCAAAACTTTCCTCAATCTTGAAGCTAGCACCTTGGCAATCAACTTGTAGATACAACCCACCAAACTAATAGGGCGAAAATCCCCAACGCCCCCCCCCCCCCCCCCCCCCCCATATTTTTCGGAATGAGAGCAATGAACGTGGCATTCAAGCTTTTCTCAAAAGATCCCCGAGAATGGAAAGCATGGAAAGTGCCCATCATCTCCCCTTTAACCACCTCCCAACACTCGAGAAGAAATCTCATGGTGAAACCATCTGGACTTGGGGCCTTATCCCCATTGCAGCTCTTTAAAACAATCAGAACTTCCACCTCAGAAAAAGGCAACTCCAAGCCCAAGCACTCCTCCTCAGAAATAGAGTTAAACTGCAACCCTTCAAGCAAAGGTCTCCACTCAACAGTCTCTGTGAACAAATTCTCAAAAAACTCAGAAAATCCTTTGAAGATCTCCTCCTCCTTATAATAAACAACCCTCTCAACCCTAATCCTCCCTATATGATTGCCTCTTTTATGAGCATTGGCCAATCTGTGGAAAATTTTTGTGTTTCTATCCCCCTCCTTAAGCCACAAGGCTTGAGATTTTTGCCTCCATGAGATCTCCTCCATTATAGCAATCTCAGAAAATTCCACCTTGCACTCCGCCCTCCTAACCTTCAAAGCTTCCACCAAATCCCCTTGACCCTCCATCCGGTCAATAGCCGCAATCTCAGCAAGAACCCGATTTTTTCTCCACTCCAGATTCCCAAAGACCTCTTTATTCCAAGTTTTAAGATTCTCCTTTAAGAGACGCAATCTGCCTGCAAGCACATGACTAGGGGTGCCAACCACACCATACCCCTCCCACCAAAGACGGACCTTCTCCAGAAAGCCCTCAGCCCGCAGCCACATATTCTCGAATATGAAAGGAGAACGTCTACTACACAACCTGCCACAATCCAACATCAACGGAACATGGTCAGAGATAGGACGAGCCAAAGTAGCCTGAACAATATCAGAGAACCTCTCCTCCCATTCCCCCGACACAAGGAATCTGTCAATCCGAGAAAGGGTAGGGGGAGAGTGACCACTGGACCAAGTAAACGGCCCTCCAATCAAAGGCAAATCAACCAGCCCAAACTCATCAATAAACTCCGAGAAAGCTTCCATATCAGATGTCCACCTACATCCTGTTGACCTTTCAAACAGAGAGCGAACAACATTGAAGTCCCCTCCAATACACCAAGGCAAACACCATCGACTTCTAATCTCCCCCAAAATTTCAATTAGTGACGGCATTTAAAGGATAGAACAAAAATTAAACAATCAATTTCGTTTTCCATACGAGTATTAACACAAACCATTTTGTATTTGTTATAATGGAGTCATTATCAAAAACAAAACAAAAAACAAAAAATAAAGCATTCACCTAGAATGATAATAAGCAACTGAAAAATATGTCATTTCTTGACATCCAAAAATTGATATTACACAGCGACATGTAAGCTATAAAGAGCCAAGTAAAAGGATCAATTTATTATTTAGCAAACTGGACGACAAAAATGGATATTCTCTCTTATGAGCTGTGTATCAGATATACCTTCCAACATCTGGGCTAGATGCCGTAACATGATGATACTTTGAACTTTGAGCTTTGTGGAATTTCACATGGAGTGTTTATGCAATTCCACTTCTAAGATTAGTGTTCATTCCAATATTACTGATGGTTTCGAGGGTTGGTATTTGCAGGTTGGAGACTTTGGACTGTCCAGAATCAAACGGAATACTCTAATTTCAGGTGGCGTGCGAGGTACTCTTCCGTGGATGGCACCAGAATTGTTGAATGGTAACAGCGTCCGGGTTTCTGAAAAGGTTAGGAAACTCTAAATTATTTTTTGTCAAGCTTCATAGCAATTTATAGGTATGAATGGCGTCACAAAGAAATCGGCAATGTGATTTCATGTTTTTGACAGGTTGATGTTTTCTCTTTTGGCATTGCAATGTGGGAGATCCTAACAGGGGAGGAACCATATACAGATATGCATTGTGGGGCAATCATAGGTAAGTTTGTGTCAATTACCTAATCACACCAAGTAATGATTATGAATTAGGAAAGGATCTAGGGCTATTAAAGCATTCTTGAAATGAAATTATTTTCGTCTTTATGAAAATTCAATACACTAGTTCATTCTATAAATTACTTCATTTTTTGCAAGTGTAAAATAAACATGATAGGATCAACAATGGTGATAGCTGAGTTGCTGAATTGGTATTTTCTTTTTGTCCTTCTAAAAGAATTTTCTCATTTGTAAATTATGAGTGAAGGCGGAATTTTGAAGAATACTCTACGACCGACTATTCCAGAACGATGTGATCCTGAGTGGAGGAAGCTAATGGAAGAGTGCTGGTCGGCTGACCCGGAAGCTCGGCCATCATTTACCGAGATAGCAAATAGGTTGCGATCTATATCCGCGGTACTCCAGTCAAAGGGACATAATAATCTGGCAGGAAAGTTGAAGCCCAAAGAAACCGTGTAAATTAAAAGAACATATACGTGCCTGTTTCATTCTTTAGTGGGCAAGATTGTCTAGTATCTACAGTGGAAGAAGCCCTTCTCTGAAGGAAAATGAGGATGAGATCATGCATGGAATCAACTGGAAATGTTATATCTCTATCTTTTTGGTTGGTGGCACGATCTTTTCGACCATCCTCACCCTTGTAATTAGTGTTATATATATATGTTCATTTGTTCATTCTTTTAAAATAGAGAAAACCTTCTTCAGGTTGTAATGTTGAGTGATGAAGATAGCACATACAGTTCACTTATTAGATTCCTCTAAATGTTTTTGCCCAAAGACAAATGTATACATGTATCATACTCGAAAAGGAATAGAATATGTCGTTGGTTTTTGCTTCACATCTGAGGCCTAATTGTTTCCTCTGGGTTGCGGACCAAGGTGGTATGCTAATTGTTATTATGCAAAACACAATGCCTTCTGTCAACAAGAATAGCATGGTAAGATCGCGATTAAATGTTTGTTGTATCTTTGAACAGGCAATGGTTAATGCCAAAATAACACGTGCTTCATATGATTTCTAATCTAATAATAGTATGATATGATTTTTTTTTTTTTTTTTGTTTTCTTCTTCGAAAGAAAAAGTTCTTTTATTTGAAGAAAAGATTAAGAGGTTGAATTTCACTAAATAAAAAAGAAATATGCTTCATGGCAGTTGGTGGGACAATGCAGAAATTGGGATAAATTTTCCTACCCACTACCACCGACTATAGGTTTATTATAGGAGGACACACACAATTTGACATTCGTTCATGGATTAAATATTTTAGATTTTGATTTTTGCCTGTTTATTTATTTATTGACGAGATAAAGGAAAAAAAATGGATGTTCTCATTTTCTTTTTCTTTTTTATTTTTTTATTCCAAACAGAGCAGGGAAAAGAAAAATTAAAAGAAAATACTGTAAGCAGGTGGTACTGGGTAGCAAGTAGCAATGGAAATGGAAGGCCACGAGGCGTTCTTTGGTCATTTTAAAGTCTCCGAACCTAAACTCTTCGTAGTTCGGGGTGTGCCGTCGTAGATTCGGAGGCTTTACTTCGCAAAGGGCAATTTCTGTTTCAGCTCTGCTTGAAGAGATTAAATGGCAAACAATCCCTCACAGCTCCTCCCTTCAGGTATTATCTCTCTCTCTCTCTCTCTCTCTCTCTCTCTCTATATATATATATATATATATATATATATATATCTGACTCCATGAGTAAGAAATAAATTAATTGTTGAAATAAAACTAGTTTGGGTTTGCAGAGTTGATAGATCGGTGTATAGGGTCGAAGATATGGGTGATCATGAAAGGTGACAAGGAACTCGTTGGCACGCTCAGGGGTTTCGATGTCTATGTCAACATGGTCCTCGAAGATGTCACTGAATAGTCCGTACCTCTATCTCTCTGTCTCTACTTCCTTCCATAAATCATAGTATATGCTCTTATTTAGGACGTTAGGGTTTAATAATTCATCATACATTTATATTGACATGATTATGCAGAATAATTTGTTCATTGTTTTATATTTCATTTACAATTTTTTTTTTTCTGTCTTTTTATTTTTAACCACGAATGTGTTAAATTTGTTAAGCTGAGTTAGAGGTTTAGATTAGAATGCACGTAGACTTATACTAATTTGGGTGATTAGCGATAGAATGATTCGAAATTTGTCACATATTTGTGTAATTTGGTGAAGTTCAGATTTTGATTGGAAAGGAATCAGCCACTGATTTAGAATATTTAGGCAAATTCATGAAATGTTGGATTACATGCAAAAATATGTTGATGTAATTAGTTTTGGTCAAAATTATTCCATGTTCTTTGAAAAAAAGTGGATGAAATTTGGAATTAAAAAATATGGTTAAAATAGAAAATAAAAAGTTGTACAATTAGATGCTGCAAAAAATTTGGATTTGGATTGGCCTTTGAGTTGACTGTAATTTTGTGACTTTAAGATCTTGGGTGTTACTTAAGCTTGGGGTCTTAAGAAGTTAACCAAGTATTAGGCTACTTGAGCTGGGCTTAATTAAATTCAAATTGAGCCTAGCTGGACATTGACAAGCCCAAGCTTGTTCTTATATTTCAACAAACTTGAGTTTGAGAATTTTGTACACATTTGTCATAGGACGTAAATTTTGACACAAACAATCTATTTAGAGAGAATATGGTGGAGTAACCATAACTCAGACCATTACAGGTGGCTCAAAACCGCAAGGGTGTGACCACAAGGCTCTTAAAGCTTTGGTACATGTGACAGTTATTAGCATCACGTGCCTAGACATCTCTTTCTTCCATTGGTTATTTTATACATTGTACAGGCATTTCATTGTTAGTCATGAAATTGTTGGATGCACTACCCTTTTTCACTCTTTCTTTTGCTTCTCTTGCAACTTAACAGTACTATAAAGTTTTTCCATCAATCAAAGCTTTATATTGGCTTGTGGCGCTGAAATTTGCAATACCACTTTCATGCTCTAGAAAAGACAGTCATAAAGCCATATGTCCGGTTCTGTATCATGTGGATGTCAGGAGAGACGTCGTTTAATGGTTGGCCCCCTTTTCATTAATTTTCTAGTGACTAATTAACTCGATCAAAGGCCAGTCTACTATTTACAATAGTTTTCATATATTCTTGTTTGGAAAGTGGTCTGTTATTCCCATTTTAGGAACTCATATGAAGCTGTGAGACACTATTTATTATGATCTATCGAACTTTGAAGAGGATTTAGAAATAACGGATGATGAAGGACAAAAGGAAGGAAAATTTTAACAAAAAATGACAAGGTACCTGACTTTGCTGATGGTGTCCCACCTCTAAGGGAAAGCCGCAGAGATACAGATCTTATCTTACCCAAAAAAGGAAAAAGATTTTAAAGATGTCTTTATCTTGATGTTGATTTCTGAAATGCTTCTTTCAAATTGACGGTACATATATCATGTTTTCATGTATCTTTCATGTCATTGGGCTAGCCCTTTTCATATATCTCTAGGTAAAGTGGATGAGATGCTAATTAGAAGTCCCAAATATCGCACTTTATATCATGACCAGTTCGTGCAAGCTCACCATATATGTGTTTATTGAAATGAGCCACATTGTGTTTCTTTTAATTCAAGTTAATTTGTTGATAATGGCCTACTGTTTTTACTTATATCCTGCTTATATTAATGTAATACAGTGAAATCACTGCTGAAGGGCGACGAATAACAAAGCTTGATCAGATTTTGCTTAATGGAAACAACATTGCCATTGTAAGTAAAATATGACCAGTTTCATTTTATCAAGCTTTCGTTTGTGTTTAGCGTTGTGAGTAAATGTAGGTTATGACTTAACCAACGGTCCAACCAACCCCCAACCCCAACACACGCACACAGAAAAGAGAAGAAAAAAGGAGCGGTTTTATGAGTTTTTGGTTTAAAGTAAATTAAGGTTGTACCCTGGTAAGGCCAAAAGCAATCCATGGTCTTTGTGGCTTGTGAATTTTTTTGAGAAGTTGATGTAGCAATTCCTATAGCGTTCTTGTGAACACCAAATAAGTTCCAGACTTTTGCTTTAAACCGAACTTTGATCTTTATATATTGCTTTAAACCGAACTTTGATCTTTATATATCATGATGGAAGTCAAAAGTAACTCCTCACCTATGAAGCACTGACACGGCTGTGCCTTGCGTACCGGACACATGTCCGACACGGACACGCGTGTCCCAGGCTTGACACGTGTCCGACACTCCTGAGCCGTTTCCTTTTTTATTTATTATTTTTTTTTAGAGATATTGGACATGGCTGAACACTCCTAGGACATGCCAGAGGACACAACGGAAGACTTTTCTGTTTCAAATAGTGAGGAAGAAGATGAAGAAGGAACTGACCAGTGTGATGATCTGTATGATATTTGATGGGGTTATCGTGCGTGCGCGTGTATATATATATATATATAATTATACATCCATTAAACGAGAGAGAGATTGTGAAGAAATAGAGTGGATGAGAGCAGATTGGCGAAAAGAAAGAAAGCAGACAGACATATGAACCAGTGACAGAGAGTGCAGTGCAGAGAAGTGGAGGGGATAGATCTTACGTTCTTTCCCGATGTGTTTGTTACAAAAATTGTGATTTGTTGAATATTATATATATATATATATATATATATATATATTAATGGAGTAGGTTGTGCATCTTTATATTTTCAAAAAGAAACGCTCCGAATGGTCTATGTGGTGGCCTAATTTGAATGGGTTAGGTGTATTAATGTATTATAAATTAAGTAAAAGGTAGTTTTTTTTATATATAATAAAAAATTATATTATTATTATTATTTTTTGATAAGTAAAAAATTATATTATTATTTTATTGTTGTATACGTGTCATTGTCTTGTTTTTTTTTTGAAAATTGCCGTATCACCATGTCCGTATCGTGTCGTACTTGTGTCTCATGTCCGTGTGCTTCATAGCTCCGCACCAATATTTTTTTGTTATGACTATTTAATTTACTGTTTTCATTCAATCTGTGGAGAGGCAGGTTACAATCTCAGTTCTGATGGGAATTCTGGCCACCATCTTTAGCCAGTGTCATGGTTGCAGAGGATGCACTTACGATCTTATTCTGCTGAAGGATTCTTTTAGTGTTCTTAGCCAGTGTCTATTTCTAGTGTTCTTACTTAAATCAGATACCATTAGCTCTTGTAAATGCCCTCTTAGAAACAAGTGTGGATTTTAATAGAGAGGAGCAATTTTAAAATCTGTAAACTATTGTGGCCCCTAAAGCTTGCTGTTTCAAGGAAATTATTGGAATAAGAAAGTTTTTTTCAGTACACTTGGTTACTTAAGTTTTTTCGGTATACTTGGTTACTTTTTCCTTAGATTTACATTTTCCAGGAAAGTGCATACCCAAATATATATATATATATCACATAAGCTCATGTTTTATATATACATTATATTTTTACTTCTGAGCTCAAGATATCATTCAATTTACTAGTCTTGAATCAAATTTTAGAAAAATCAAGAATTGATCCTAATGTATATTGCCCAAACCTTCATATTTCCGATACAGGTAAATTGGAATTGTGAGTTTGACCCAATTTTTTTTTTACAAAAATTAATTCCATAGACCAACAACTTCACTCGCGTACGTAATATAGAAATCAAAACGTCTTCATGCCGGTTAAAAAATAAAAAATAATAAATAAATCCTACTACAAATCATTTCTTTTACTATGTTGTTGAGAAATCAACAGATTAATATGGTATTGCAGTGAAGGTAACTTGGCTTTGTGGATTAAAATGATTCCGAATGAATGAATGAGAAATTAGATTCAAATTAGCACATATGAAACTGAAAAACGGAGAAAGTTGTAGATTTAATTTTTTTATGTATTTATTTACTCAAAATGATTCCGAATGAATGAGAAATTAGACCTAAATTAACACCTATGAATATGCTTTAAAAATAATGAAAGTGGAGAATTTTTATTAATAACTGTTGAATTGGATTTGGCCTTCCTTGGATATTTTTCTACAAGACTAAAAGTACATAATTTTTTTTTTTTTTTTTTTTTTTTCACTAAAGTATATATAAATATCATTTATCATAATGCAAGTGTGAAATGATTTATATATTTAAGCTACATCCTCTATAACAGTTAAAATTTTTAGAATAGATGGTTATTAACATGTTATAAGAGTCAAAGGTAATAAAAAAATTAAAAAAACATGTGTTAGACTAAAAGAAGACCACACGTGAGGGGTGAGGTGTTGTTAGATATGATGTTTTTTAAATATATAAATTATTCGACAACCGATTTCCATTTTTTTTTTCTTCCTGTCTTTTTCCATCTGAGAATAATAAAAATTGAGAATTTGTTTTAAAAGTATTTTTCATATAAAATTTTCAAATGAACATTTTACTAAAATTTTCATGTATTTTTCACTTCTCTGAAGCAAATTTTTCGAAGGTTTGCATAATCTTCTATTAATAGTTTCAACTTTGGTAATGATATTTTAGCAGTTTGTTTTTCTGGTAAAGAAATTGAACAAACATCCAAAGTTCAAAAATTAATATGAAAATGACTTGGACAAAACTAATGATGAACAAATCGAGAATAAAAAAAAACTAGTCATATAAACAAATCGGAAAAGGTGGAGTTATATAAAACTTGTAATGTATTCTCTTGTTAAAAACTATTATGATTTATTAATTAAGAAAAATAAAAAAAAGTTATTGATAATTTTTTCGTTTGGTGATACGAAATTAGGAATTTACTCTTGTTAAAAGGTATTGGGACTTATTAATTCAAAAAAAAGAAGAATTTTAGTTGTATCTTATTCAACTTATCTTCTAATTTAGAAGTTCTAATCATATATTATAATTTTCAAATATAAAAATAAGTAAATTGTTGTGTGCATATTACAAAAATATATTTTAAAATACAGTAAATACTGGACACAATGAGGAGAAAAAACAAAGAAAAGAAAAAGAAATTAAACACATACCATTTTGCTGCTAAAATCCTCACCATCTACTTCTAAAGGACGTACTATTGATCATTTATATATAATCAAACGTATGTCCAAATTTAATGTGATATTTTTTTTTTTTTAAATTCCAATTCCAATTTCAAATCATCTTGTTCAAATCCAAATTCCACCGGGATATGGATTCGCTCCAAACACACATTTATAAAATACTAATTTGGGATCAATTTCTCCCCCAATATACACTCTAGATTTCTCTGATTCCGGTTGGTTCATCTTCCCTTTTCTTTTCTCTCTCTAAATCTTTTCACGTTCCTACTCTTCGATAAGCGTAGGGTTTTGAAATATACAAATTCCTCCTCATTCTGTTGTGATCAGTGAAGGAACTGCCTAAGCCTACCACGAATTGGTCGATGCTTTGAAACGTCACTGGTTAGCGTTCTTACTACTAATTTCTTAATTTATCTTTTTTTTTTTTTTTTTTTTTTTTTTTTTTGTAAGTTACATGATTACACTCTTAGGGCACACAAATTGTATCTTCAAACAACTTTTCTAGTTTTTAATGAAATTATTGGTTTTTATTTATTTATATTAAAGTAATACAGTGGGTTCTGCTATTATGGCAGAAGCTTTGATAGCAAGAAAGGCAATACAGTGGGCTGATCAATTGAAGCTCCACATGAGTAATTGAAGGGGATTGTGTTTCTTTTTCTAATTTTTCTTCTTGCCTTGAGTCTATTGCTGTGATTGAAGAGGATATTAGATTCCTCAACTCATCTTAGTGTAAAATTGGTGAGGCGTGAGACCAATAAAGTTTCTAATTTTTTGGGCCATATGTTCCCAACTGATGTGTTAGAAATTGCAGCTTCTGATTGTATCTTTGTTTGAACATAACAATGAATGTTGTTTTGCTTTGGAAAGAGAAAAATTAAAAATTAAGAATATGTATGTATGTATATATATATATATATATATATATATATATGAAAATTCTATTTGTTACTTACTTACTGAGAAAAGAAAAAAAAATTCTATTTGTTTCAAACAAAATGCATGAAATAGAAAGTTGAGAGATATTCATCATACCTTGATTGACCATATATGCAACCTTCATTTCCTTAGAAGAAATAAAGGCAGGGTTTCTTAGTGAAGAAAATGTCCTAAAACTGATTTAATCTGGAAAGCAGGGAAAAATTGAAGCAAGTTTGATTAATGCTTTACCTGCTTTTAACTTCATAATAAAATGGCAGAGGTTAGATGCTGTAGTTTGTCCATTTTTTTGTTTTTTTTTTTCTTTCGTTTTTCCCCTTAGGTAAATGACAGATTTTCAATAGTTTTGGCACCTCAATGTCGGTTCTTTGCTTTGTGGGCTGTATTATGTTCCAGGGGTTGGCTGTTCATTTTTTTAGAAACAATACTTGAGCTGCTTTTAAAACATCATGAGACAGTTTAGTCCATATCTGGTGTGGGGGTGTTAGAGAATAGAGGAAGAACCATTTTGTAGTATGAGAGGACTGGGATGAATGGACCTTCTATGTAGCATTTATCATGCCATGCCCACTGTAAACTTTAGGTAGCCAAGTGTAGTTGTTGACTGCATCTTCGTAGTAAGTCCACCCCAAAATGAGTGCTCTCCTATTCCAAGAGTCTCTGGTAGCCCAACCGTGATAGCAGATGGGTTCTCTGCCCAATGAATTAAACTAGGATAAATTTCATCCCATTTCTATTGCTAGCTATTCTCCCTTGGCAGTTGGACCGAGTGAAATTTGTATTTCTATGTGGAGGATTAGTAATACTATTGAAGCCTCGTAGTAATTCTTGCGAGCTTTTAGTCTACCTTCTCTAATTTAGTTTTGTGCAACAGAAAATCTGGATTGGCTCTCCTAATACTCTTTAGTTACTTTTTTCTTTTCTTGAACACAAACTTCTAAAGACCCGACTTATAATATTGACGAAGACATATTGTTGGGCGTGTGATCGTTAAGTAAATCAGCCTTCCAATAAGTCGGTGATATGTAGAGGGATTGTCTAACAATTTTCCATCAGAGTCATTGAGTTTCAAATTTTGCTCCATAGGAAATTCTGCTTGTCTTGCACCTAGAAGGCCAGTATCTTCAAGAATCTCAAGTGCATACTTTCTTTGAGAGAGATGAATTCCCTTTTTCAAATGGGCAACCTCAATGCCTAAGAAATATTTTAAATTGCCTCTGATCCTAACCCCTAGGATTTTCTATTTGTTTACAGTATTATTAAACATTGGAGTATAGGTTTGGGCTGTCCGTCTTATAAGCTGTCAAGCATCGTCAAGAACTCCTTGTTTTGATTTTGATTTATGAGAAATTACAATAATAAGTCAAAGAGTGACATCACCATATATGGATGAGTCAAATGCTCATTCTTGTTGGGCTTTTTTTATATACTACGTATCTTTCTATCCAACCACTTTTTCCAGTTAAAAGAAGAGTGTTATTATTAATTAGGTTCACAAGTCAAAAAAATGAAGTACTAGCCATCCAATACATGCTTAAAAGCAACATCGAGCAAGCTTATGCATCTTCATCCTGGCTTTATATACTGAAGGAGCATCAGAATTATAGAATGAAGCCGAAGGTTTTGAACCTGGAGCAGCTTATTACTTCAATCATCATATTTTCTTAAGCATATCTGTTTTTCTAGTCTAACCATCCACAACTGTTTTCAGTACTCGCTGCTTTCCTTAGATATCTGCCAGACTACTCTCATACGCACACACGCATATGTTTGTGTGTGCACATTTATGTGGTGTTTTTAATTTCCAACTCATTCTTTCCCAATTATTTTCGGGTTCCTTGTAGCTTTTACTTTAGATTGTGCTAATCATTTTTGTTTGGCAGGATTGGCGAAAGAATTAATGCAAGTATGCAACTGATGTCAACAATAGCAAATAATCTTTCATCTCAAGTAATTGATATTAAAAGGAAGAAATTGAAGGTGGCTCATAACTCCAATGATATCATAGTTGCACTTCCTCCAGAAATTGCGGAGCTTATACTTCAGATGCTTGACATTGTTGATTATCATCGCTTTAGTGCAGTTTGCAAGACTTGGAGATCCATTGCAGTTGCTGCAAAGCAAAAACAACACTTCTCTTTGCAACAGCTTCCTTGGCTGATGCTTTCTTCTAACAACAGTTCAGAGGATGATGATCATGGATTTTTCAGTCCTGCCCATGGAAAAATTTTGAAGCTGAAGCTGCCCAAGGTCCGTGGCTGTAGGTGTTGTGGTTCCTCCTGGGGGTGGTTGATAATGGCAAATGATATTGGAGACAACTTCCTTTTGAACCCACTTTCGAGGCTTAATATCCAGCTTCCATCCCAGACTACACTTTCTCGTTTTTGTAGTCCTATCCATGATCTGGAGCGTTGGTTTCAGGGTGCATCATACATCCGCAAGGCCATGTTACTAACGCCCCCTTCTATTAGCTCTACTGCTTCCACTACGAGTTGTAATGGTGTAGATTATGTGGCTTCCAATTGTATTGTTGTGGCTATTTATGAAGTGAGGAACTTGGGCTTTTGTAGACCAGGGGATCATGCTTGGACTCGTTTTTCGACCGGGAATGTAGAATTTCATTTTCAAGATATGATATTGTTCAAAGATCAGTTGTATGCGGTTACTGATGATTATAATCTTGTGCTCATTGAGTTGGATCCGCATCCAAAGGGTACAAAAGTGGACATGCCTTGCCCTGAAAGCCATGATCGCATGTTAAAGTTACAGGCGGATGTTGAGTTAATTTATTTGGTGGAATCTTGTGGGGAGCTCTTGATGGTAGTGAGACACTGCAATTTTCCTAGAAGAAATGGTAATGTCAGGTTACGGACTTTTAATCCTTATATCACTACGACATTTAAGGTGTTCAAGTTACGTTCAAGAGGTTGGTGGCGTTGGATTGAAGTTGACAGCTTAGGTGATCAGATGCTATTTGTAGGCACCAATGGTGGCATCTCCCTCTCTGCTAGCCTCTTCTCAGGATTTAGGGGAAACTGCATTTATTTCACTGATGACAATTATTGGAGTGTGCTATTAACATATGATGGTCCAGGAGCTGCTTGTGATTTGGGTATGTTCAACTTAGATGATGGGAGTATTAAGTCTTTCTTACCAACCGACTCCCATTCATCTGTGTCTCCTCCTGTGTGGTACATGCCGAGTCTATTGTAGTGTCGACACAAGGAACCAGTTTTGTATTTTTGTGTTTATTGAACAATAACTTTTCCAGTTATAAAGATTGAGATAATTGAAATTGTTGTTTATATAGGTCAACTTAAATTTTCTTGTTTGTGGTCAGAATATAGAATTTTATATTCTGTTTTTCCTTCTGTCCTACTAACAGCTAAAGTGAGATAATTAAAATCTGAGAGGCTTATTTGCTAAAGAGCATAAAAAAAAATAAAAAAAAAATGTAAGTTGCAATCATTTTATACATATTCTCAATTAGATATTTCATTTGATTTTCTTTATTGTCAAAGAATAATATTTTTATAGAAATTTTATTCACTTAGAATGCTAGGTCAATGCCAAATGTTAGGTATGTTTTTAGTTCATCCTTACCAGCACTCTAGAGATGAAAGTGATTTTTTGTGTGTATATATATATATATATATATAATGGAACTAGTATGTGTTTGATACTCAAATACTGGATGCAAAGCTTTGCACCATCCAGTGTCTTGCTCTTGCCTTTTGGCCAGGCGCATGAGATCATGTTGCTGTTGCACTCCCAAGTTAGAACATGCTAGAAAATTACAACTTGTATGGAAGAGAAGCAAATGAAATGCTTCATAGGAATTCTTGTAGAATCACACACTCACACACACGTTTTCATTGTACCGCCCTAATGAGGCCACGTCAGCATCAAACCCACATGGAGGGTAGAGTAACACGTCACCTCACCTGGATCTCTTCAAAACTTGTGTGAGTAGGAAACGTTGGAGAATCTCAAACACATGACACTCCCAAGAAGGCAAAGCCTCGATTTCATCACACAGTTTCTAAATTAATAGAGAAACCACCACTTGCATGTGCCCACAACCACCAACCCCCTCATGACACTCTACACATTGTCCTAAAATATCTCCTTACCCCCACATGCCTCAACAACCATGCATAACATTTATACATACATATATATATATACATACATATATATATTACATTATGTACTATTGTTTGCCCACATAAACAATCAGATATAAGCACTCTCATTTCTATATTATTGGTCCATTATCAGCTTGAGCTTCCTCTGCAATTAACTACCCCTTGGCTTGGTTTACTCCCAGGTTAGTCTTAAGCTTCCTTGGGAGCAGTAAATCCCTAAAAAGTGGCCATCCATTTGTAGGGACCACCGCAGTCGGCTAATCGCAGAGGTACAAGTGTATGGTAGAGAGAAATGACACCAGAGCTAGCTAAACTCTTTCTATCTATCCTCTTAATTAAATTCAAGATATATATATCCCTTAAACACCCACCACATGATCAGCTTATATAGTAATCCCACATTATACTAGTTTGAAAACCATTCACAAGCCAACCACTGCCTGGTTGTCTCACCACCATCTTCTTAGATTCATTCCAACTCCCTCCAATTTGTCTTCATCTTCCTAAAGCCCCTCACATAGGCAGGAATCTTTAGAAGCACAGATAGATCTCGTGTGCTGTCCATTTGACCAATATAATCTTCTTTCTGTTTCTATACTATTTTATTAAGTCCGGATTAACATTTAGCATAACATGCAGGTGAGCTTCATTTGCAATTTTATGATTAAATTATTCGCTATGTCACATTCACATCAAAGTTGATGTAGCTCTTGTTGAATTATATATATATGGCAGATCCTCCAAAGGCTCTTCAAGGTAGCACAAGAAAAACCAAGAGAGTCTACTTCTAGTCTTACCAATAAGAAGGAGGGTACTGCTAATGGTAAGAAAACTGTTCACAACCCTTGTGTGATCGAAAGTATCAAATCCATTACATTTTTAGTAACCAATTTTTTTGTTTATTTGTTTGATTTTTTTTTTTATCAGATAAAAAGGGCATTAATGGAGGACTGAAGAGTGCAGGAGAAAGCAAATCGGGGTATAAGAATTTGAATCCAATTACTGTTTTACGCAGAAGAGACATTGCAAAGAGTTGCTTCTATAGCACGCTTAATCTAAAGAGGTTGGGAAGCTTTCGTAGAAGACAATTCTTGATGAAGATGAAAAAAGAAAATATTGCTAGAGGACTAGGGCTTGGTCACAAGGTGGATTCGGGTGCCAATGTGGGGAATAAGGTTCTACCAATTAGCGACTCGGCATTATCATCCTCAACTAATAATAATGTAAATGAAAAGAAAGATAAGCCAAAGGGTGACACAAACAAGACCATTTCCAAGATGAAGGAGCTATTGAGATGGGCTGCTTTTGCGAAATCTGAGAAAGGAGGAAAGTACTTCGGTCGAAAGGTAAATTCTTTAACATTATTTCTTAATTCATTCATTTGGTTCCTAGTATGTTGGGTTTTTCTTGTTAAAATACCGGCTGTGTCATATATTTTCTTAGAAGTCAAATGAAGCCTAAGAACATAGCAAAAAATGGGCTGGTCACTGGTTAGTCATTGGTAATTGTTTGGGTTGAACAACAAAGACAGACTAATAGGGGTACCTGTAAAACAACATAATAATTATGTATATGCCAGATTGCACATATATATTCATTTCCAATTCTACAATTAAATTTTAGTCTGATCGATCTATGGCAATACAATATATATATCTTTCAGGTGTCATACTTTCGGAATCGAGCAGCCCTAAAAGCAGTACCAGATGATGATGAACTTAGCAATGTTGACTCTCCTAAGATCAGCTTCAGATGGGAAGTTGAAAGCTGCTCCACTTCCTCCTCTGCAATTTCATTAAAGAATGATCAGAACTTAAACATGCCTTGTTTGATATCCAGTACTCCTGTCCATGACACAGATCTAACTACTTCAAGAACTGGAAATTGGATCACTACTGACTCTGAATGTAAGATTTCCTCTCTTTCACCCACCCTCTCTTGCAAGAAAGAACCCCCCACGTCTCTCTCTAACTGATCGTATTTTTGGTTTGGACAGTTGTGGTGCTAGAGCTATGAAGGTTGGTTAGAGCTTAAAGGAGACCGACCATACCTTAATTTCATGGTTGAATCAACTGCTTAATTTGGCTTAGCCATTGTATACTGGTTATTGGTAGATGGGTTACTTTGGTTCTATAAATTTTGAAAGATGAGGGTTTACATATAATGCTTGTAAACAATTGAGCTGATCTATGATGCTTTCATAATCATCTCGACGATATTTGGAAGAAGAGGTTTCCACGAGAGGGGATATCCAGTGTAGTCATGCTAACTATTTCTTTTAAAAATGCTGTAGCAGTCCGAATCTGGAGAGGAATTAAATGTAACATTAATTCAAGGATGTGAAATGTATCTATTTGTGATGAATATGGCTAAATTGTAGTCTAACCAATCTTTCAGTCTCATAAATGAGGAATGTCTGTTGCTCCTCTTAATTTATAGACTGACCGATCCAACATGAATTTTCTCTAATTTCAAAATCATGGCGTCAATCAGTGCTTCCAAATGCAACATAACATTAGTTTTATATTTTTGTAACTTGGTTAGGTTTGCATTAGAACTTGGGTTACTTGACACCTCTTTTCAAGCATAACCACCAAAATTGAAGTCTGGTTGAAAAGTTTTAGTAGCTGATATATGGTGCATGTGAGTGATCTCAATAAAACATTCCTGAATGAGATTTTGAGATGTGATGCTTCTCAACTCATTAGCCACAGGGGCATTTCTAGCCTACCCAACACCACACAAGAATATATAAGCCACACAGCACAACACTCGTATCCTAAATTGATCGAGAGGCATGCGATGATTCAATAGCCACCATAGCATGCATTTCTAGCTACCCAGGCCAAACAAGTGTCTAAGATTCTGTAACGTCTCAAAACTAATACTTTTTAAACAAAAAAAAAATTCGGCATGACCTCCCCTAAAAATAGGCCTATCACAACCTGTTCAATTGCATTTTTAACCTGTCACGGCTCAAATTCCGAGTTCACGGCAATAGTAGATGATAATACACAATCAAATGACCTCGATAATACCTCAAACTAGTATTACTCTCCCCATGCATCAATAAGGTTTATATGTTATCAAATTCACATCCAAAATATCATCAAATACCTTACATTACATAACAAAGTTTTGCAAAATATACATATACACCTTCACACTTTTAGTGCTTTGCAAAAATAATGGGAGATATACAAAAGACACAAAAGTGAGCTTCTAGTATCGCTCAAGCTTGAGGTGGGTTGTCGTCCACCGGTTCTTTTCCAAGACCTGAAAAAAATATATAAATAGTAGGGTGAGTTATATGCTCAGTAGGTGACACTTAAGACACAATTCTTGTGTCCTAGTGAATCCAATCAAAGCATAGGGCAATGGGAGATAGGGATCATACAACATAGGGGATCGAATACAACATACAATTCAATTCCAATTATAAACAATGCAATGCAATGCAATGAAATGCAATGCATGTCAATGACACTCCCCATTTTCATTCTCAAAACCATCACTTTCAAACGTTAATACAGCCCGCCCTTTGGTAACCCCGCCGCGACACGAGAGGAGGATTGGCTAGTGTCCCTGACCTTTGGTAACCCCGCGGCGTCATTATGGGGCCCAGCTAGCTCAACCACACTAGGGCGACTCCCTAGTCCCCTCTAGGCTATATTAACCTCCGGCCCGTTGGTAACCTCGTAGCGACCGGGTTTGTCAAAACCAATTTTTTTTTTCAAAACATTCATTCCCAAATCCCCATTTTCATTTCAAGACAACCACTTCCCTTTTTCATGCAACCCAATAAGATGTAGGCTCATGTCATGATCTCAATATAATGACAAATGGGAACTTAGCACAATAATAAATAAGCATGTTCTCATGGCATCATTATAGCATGTTAGTAACCTAAAAAAAAATGTAAACAACCATCACATAGACATATTTTTCATTCAACCATGTTATACACATTTACATAACTAGCATGTTGTCAATTAAATCATTTTAATCAAAATCAACAACAATTAAACATACTATAACACACATAGAGGAGCATGATTCATTATAGAGCAAGATTCCATGGCTTAAGATGTCCCTACCTCAAAAATGAGCATACCCTAGAAAATGGGTCCTAAATTTCGAAGTCCAAAGGGTGCACCAAATCTGGAATGTTGGTATGGATGTGTAGAGCTCGACACAAGCTTCGTTTTGCCTCAAACGGCACCTCAATCCGACAAAAGATGAAGGAGTAATCAACAATGGAAGCTTGAAGTGAAAAGAAAAGAAAAAAAAAAGACAAGAAGGAGAAGCAGAGGAGTCTGTCGGGAGAGAGAGAGAAAGGCAGAGACCAATTTTGGTCTCACAATTCACTTAAAAAGTGATGTGGGTCCCACTTCTTTTATAATTTCTTTTTCTCATTTTCTTTTTCATTTAAATCACACACCACACACACACAATTATATACAAACATCACATTCTCCCCAACTTTAAAAAAATTTCGTCCTCGAAATCAAGACATACCTGAGGAAGAAAACAACGCTGGATACTTGGAGCGAACCTCCTGTTCAAGCTCCCAAGTAGCCTCCTCAACTCTGTGGTGTCTCCAAAGAACTTTCACCATCGGTATCGTCTTGTTCCTCAACACCTTCTGTTGTGTGTTAAGAATCTGAACTGGTCCTTCCTCGTAGGAAGCATCCTCATCAATGTCCACATCTACCCAACTCAAAATGTGAGATGGATCCTGTTCATACTTCCGTAACATCGATACATGGAAAACATTGTGGACCCTATCCAACTGTGGTGGCAAAGCAAGCCTGTAGGCAACCTCTCCTACTCGGTCCAAAATCTCAAACGGTCCAATAAATCGTGGCGACAACTTGCCACTTTTTCCGAATCTCATCAATCCCTTTCGTGGAGAAACCCGTAGAAAAACATGGTCTCCCACCTCAAAGGATAACGGTCGTCTCCGCTTATCCGCATAGCTCTTCTGTCGGCTCTGAGCTGTAAGTAACCTCTGTCTTATCAACTTAATCTTCTTAGTGGTCTCGAGTACAATGTCGGGTCCTAAGGCGACTGTCTCACCTACCTCAGTCCAACAAACAGGAGACCTACAAGGTCTACCATACAACGCCTCAAATGGAGCCATCTGGATGCTCGCTTGATAACTGTTGTTGTAGGCAAACTCAATAAGTGGAAGGTGATCCTCCCAACTACCTCCCAAATCAAGTACACATGCCCGAAGCATATCCTCCAAAATCTGGATAGTACGCTCCGACTGACCGTCCGTCTGTGGATGGAATGCCGTACTAAGATGCAACGCTGAACCAAACGCTACTTGAAGTCCTTCCCAGAACTTCGAAGTGAACTTAGCATCCCTATTTGACACAATGGTTACAGGAACTCCATGCAACCTTACAATCTCCTTCACATAAAGAACACCAAGCTTCTCTGCATCATCTGTTGCCTTAATAGGCAAAAAGTGAGTCATCTTGGTCAATCTGTCAATGATGACCCATACGGCCTCATTGCCCCTCCGTGACCTTGGAAAACCTGTCACAAAATCCATAGCAATATGCTCCCATTTCTATTGCGCTACAGGTAATGGTTGCAACAAACCAGCTGGCCTCTGATGCTCGGCCTTCACCTGCTGACAGGTAAGGCATCTAGCCACAAACTGTGCAACATCATTCTTCATCCCGCTCCACCAATACTGACGCCTCAAATTGTGATACATTTTAGTACCACCTGGATGAACTGCAAAGCGGGAAGTGTGAAACTCCCGTAGGACATCCTCACGACAAACTGTGGGAACCACCAACAAGCCCCTGAACCGTAGACCCCCATCTGCATGCAAGGCCCAATCTTTCACTGTCTCACCACTAGAGATCAAAGCGTAGATGGTATCTAAGTCCAGGTCCTGTCTCTGTGACTCAATCACTCGTACAACAAGAGTAGGCTGAGCTACAAGACTAAATAAGAATGCCGACTCACTGTAAGCATCATCATCACAACACTGTAATCCCATCTCTGCCAGATCTTCAAGCATCTGCCACTTCCGAATAGCTAAACTGGCCAAAGTTCCACAAGATTTTCGGCTTAAGGCATCAGCTACAACATTTGCCTTGCCCGGATGATATTGCAAATCAAAGTTGTAATCTTCCAAGTACTCAACCCATCGTCTCTGTCTGTTGTTCAAGTCTTTTTGGGAAAAAAGGTACTTGAGACTTTTGTGATATGAAAATACCTCGAATCTCTCACCATACAAGTAGTGTCTCCAACACTTCAAGGCAAACACAACTGCCGCTAACTCCAGATCATGAGTAGGGTAGTGAAGCTCGTGAGTCTTCAACTGTCGAGACCCATAAGCCGCTACTCTACCATCCTGCATCAACACACATCCCAACCCATCACGTGAAGCATCACAATAGATCACATAACCCAAGCCTCGCTCAGGTATCACCAACACTGGAGCTGTAGTCAATCTCGTTTTCAACTCCTGAAAAGATGAATCACAGGCCTCATTCCAGACAAACTTGACCCCTTTCCGGGTCAAACGGGTCATAGGAGCTGCCAAACGGGAGAAATCCTTCACAAATCTCCGATAGTAACCCGCTAAACCAAGAAAACTGCGGATCTCAAACACATTCTTGGGTCGCTCCCAAGTCAAAACTGCTTCAACCTTTGATGGATCAACTGATACTCCACCTTCTGAAACAACATGCTCCAAAAACTTCACCTCCTGTAGCCAAAACTCACATTTCTCGTATTTGGCATACAATCGGTGTTCCCGCAAAATCTGTAAAACAATACTCAAATGGACCTCGTGATCTTCCCGAGTCCGTGAGTACACAAGAATGTCATCCACAAAAACTACCACAAACTGGTCCAAGTAATCGTGAAAGACGCGGTTCATCAAGTCCATGAATGCCGCTGGCGCATTAGTCAAGCCAAAAGGCATAACAAGGAACTCATAGTGTCCATACCGTGTACGGAATGCTGTCTTCGGGATATCCTCATCCCTAACCCGCAACTGATAATAGCCAGACCTCAAGTCAATCTTCGAGAAACAACTGGCTCCCCTCAACTGATCAAATAAATCATCTATCCTTGGCAAAGGATACTTGTTCTTGATGGTGGCATGATTCAACTTCCGATAATCAATGCACAACCTCAACGAACCATCTTTCTTCTTAGCAAACAAGACCGGTGCGCCCCACGGTGGCACACTCGGTCGGATGAAATCTTTCATCCTCAAATCATCAAGCTGCCTCTTCAATTCTTCCAGTTCAACTGGTGCCATACAATACGGTGCCATAGAAATCGGCGCGGTACCTGGCATTAACTCAATAGAGAACTCCACTTCTCGGTGTGGAGGCAACTTTGTCAAATCTTCTGGAAAAACATCCAAGAAGTCACAAACAATCGCCGGATAAACTTCTCCCACGACATCATCTTCTTCAGCTAAAAGGCTAGCCAAGAAGTAATCATCACGACTCCGTTTATGAATTCCATACAACGACGATGATTGGGAATCACTCCGATCTCCCGTGAAAGAGAAACAGTCTCCTTCTGGAGTGCAAACTGTAATTCTCCCTTTGAAACAATCGATCGTGGCATGAAAGAAGGCCAACCAATCCATCCCGAGAATGACATCAAAGCTAGTCATCTCCAGGAGGATAAGGTCAAACACAAAGGTCCACCCGGCTATCACAATGGGACATTCCCGCACAATTCGGCTCAAAGACACTGAAACCCCAACTGGCGTATCAACACTCAACGCCTGTTCCAAGAAACTAACTTCCAACCTCGATGCAAGTGCAAATGATGATGAAATGAAAGAATGAGATGCACCAGAGTCAAATAAAACACGGGCCCAACAACCAAACACTGGAAATATACCTAGAAGGACTGACGGTCCAGAAGATGCATCTGTCTGTGCCAGTGCAAAAACACGTCCCTGAGGTACCTGTGCCTGAGGACTGCCAACCTGAACACCTGACTGCTGCACTGACATAGTAGGAGTATCCCTCCTAACTGATCGTGAACCCTGTGAAGACATAGTAGGCTGTGGTGGTGGTGGTCTGAAACCTGACTGAACTGTAGCCGATTGTGACGGCCTCTGCTGTGACCCTCTGCCACTAACGGTGCCTGCTCTCTGACTCGGACAATCACGAATCAAGTGACCCTGCTGGCCACACCCATAACAAGCCTTCGGAGCTGACGAAACTGAAGACGATCTCATCGGACAACTGGACTTGTAATGTCCGGGCTGCTGACATTGAAAGCAAACAACTGCATTCCTATCAAACCCAGCTAGCAACGGAGTGGTAGGAGCAGATCGTACAGACTGCTTTCCCTAAAACTGAGATGGACTGCCCCTGTTCCTTTTCCAAGAAGATCCCTCTGAGGATGGCCCTGCACCCCTCTTTTGCTTCAATTGCTCTCTTTTTGCATCCTTCTCTCTATTGTCAGCCTCCAGCATCAAAGCCCTTTCCACTGCTTCAGAGTAAACCTTAATAAACTGTGCCGTGATCAACGGCCTCATTCGATCATTAAGACCCGAGACAAACTTCCGAGTCTTGTTAGCTTCATCTCTCACCACTTCTGGAGCAAAACGGGAGAGTGAGGTGAACTTGTTCTCATACTCCGCCACTGACATGTTCCCTTGAATAAGATTATGAAACTGGTCTTGTAACTCCCATCTTTTGGAAAGCGGAAAGTACTTTTCATAGAACAGTTCCTTGAACCTGTCCCAGCTCATCTCTTCAATCTTGTACTGGTTGGTGACTGACTTCCACCAAACCTTAGCATCCTTAGCAAACTTATACGTAGCTAGGATGATCTTTAGATGATCCTCTGTCACATCCATTGAAGTTAGTTGGGTTTCAACTTGATCCAAGTAGTCATCTGCTACCATTGGATCCGCACCACCCTCAAACATAACCGGCATCAGCTGAGAAAACCCCTTAATGATCTTGAGACGCTTCTGAGCTGGAGTCTCCTCAACTTGAACTGTAGGTTGTGGTACCAACTGCGGCTGAGCAACAATAGTTGCTCTCACGACATTTTGCAACAAACGATTAAACTCCAGTGCCACAGAACCTTCACCCACTTCTACGAGTACGGGTGTTTCAACATTCTCTCTTCTTAGGGGAACAGCTCTTGGGGGAATCAAGTCCCTAAGAAGCATGTTCTCATCAACTGGCTCCGCCGGATTGGAGCTAGATCTCTCACCAACATCACCCCTTGTTGGTCTAGGGCCAACTTCTCTAGGTTCCTCACGCCGTGACATCGTGCTATAAAACGAGAAAACGATTCAGAAACATGACACTAAGGTCCACTGTGGACAACTCAACAAGAATTAATACCGTACAACACTTAGCATGCAAGACTATGCAAGAAACATTTTAACATAAGCAAGTAAGCACATAGGCAGTTAAGCATGCTCATTTAAATAAGATACCACGTAGCAAGTAGTCAAGTAAACAATACAAACAACATCCCATGCGACTCTATGTAGGCCTCTACCCGTCGTCCTAAAGGTTTTCGAACCTTGGCTCTGATACCAAATTTGTAACGTCTCAAAACTAATACTTTTTAAACAAAAAAAAAATTCGGCATGACCTCCCCTAAAAATAGGCCTATCACAACCTGTTCAATTGCATTTTTAACCTGTCACGGCTCAAATTCCGAGTTCACAGCAATAGTAGATGATAATACACAATCAAATGACCTCGATAATACCTCAAACTAGTATTACTCTCCCCATGCATCAATAAGGTTTACATGTTATCAAATTCACATCCAAAATATCATCAAATACCTTACATTACATAACAAAGTTTTGCAAAATATACATATACACCTTCACACTTTTAGTGCTTTGCAAAAATAATGGGAGATATACAAAAGACACAAAAGTGAGCTTCTAGTATCGCTCAAGCTTGAGGTGGGTTGTCGTCCACCGGTTCTTTTCCAAGACCTGAAAAAAATATATAAATAGTAGGGTGAGCTATATGCTCAGTAGGTGACACTTAAGACACAATTCTTGTGTCCTAGTGAATCCAATCAAAGCATAGGCCAATGGGAGATAGGGATCATACAACATAGGGGATCGAATACAACATACAATTCAATTCCAATTATAAACAATGCAATGCAATGCAATGAAATGCAATGCATGTCAATGACACTCCCCATTTTCATTCTCAAAACCATCACTTTCAAACGTTAATACAGCCCGCCCTTTGGTAACCCCGCCGCGACACGAGAGGAGGATTGGCTAGTGTCCCTGACCCTTGGTAACCCCGCGGCGTAATTATGGGGCCCAGCTAGCTCAACCACACTAGGGCGACTCCCTAGTCCCCTCTAGGCTATATTAACCTCCGGCCCGTTGGTAACCCCGCAGCGACCGGGTTTGTCAAAGCCAATTTTTTTTTTTCAAAACATTCATTCCCAAATCCCCATTTTCATTTCAAGACAACCACTTCACTTTTTCATGCAACCCAATGAGATGTAGGCTCATGTCATGATCTCAATATAATGACAAATGGGAACTTAGCACAATAATAAATAAGCATGTTCTCATGGCATCATTATAGCATGTTAGTAACCTCAAAAAAAATGTAAACAACCATCACATAGACATACTTTTCATTCAACCATGTTATACACATTTACATAACTAGCATGTTGTCAATTAAATCATTTTAATCAAAATTAACAACAATTAAACATACTATAACACACATAGAGGAACATGATTCATTATAGAGCAAGATTCCATGGCTTAAGATGTCCCTACCTCAAAAATGAGCAAACCCTAGAAAATGGGTCCTAAATTTCGAAGTCCAAAGGGTGCACCAAATCTGGAATTGTTGGTATGGATGTGTAGAGCTCGACACAAGCTTCGTTTTGCCTCAAACGGCACCTCAATCCGACAAAAGATGAAGGAGTAATCAACAATGGAAGCTTGAAGTGAAAAGAAAAGAAAAAAAAAAAGACAAGAAGGAGAAGCAGAGGCGTCTGTCGGGAGAGAGAGAGAAAGGCAGAGACCAATTTTGGTCTCACAATTCACTTAAAAAGTGATGTGGGTCCCACTTCTTTTATAATTTCTTTTTCTCATTTTCTTTTTCATTTAAATCACACACCACACACACACAATTATATACAAACATCACAGATTCAAGAATATTTATTTGTGGAAACCACGAAACCTTGTCATCTAAATAGAGTGGACTATGATAGGAGCATTGTTTCAATGAAAATTATGGCATAAGAAAAGTGGAGTTCTAGAGTCTTTCCTATGGATGGTGTAGGTATTCATCTAAAAATTTAGAGAATATACACAATGCCTATATATATATAGGCGGTACATGTACAATGTCATTTGTAACAAACAAGGCTCTAGGAATTGACTAATGCCAGAAATAGACACTAGAACTAGCCGATCTGAAAATTGGGGTACTGATTAAAGAAATTAGTGTGTAAATTATGGATGGTGGGGAGGGGAAGTGAACTAGAGAATTAGAGTTGTATGGTAACAAAGGAAACTTAGGAAAGTCATCAAAGTGGTGGAAGAGGGTGAGTTTGGTTTAGAATTTAGGTTTTAGAAATAGGCTTATTTATCATTCCCTTAAGTAAATTTTTTTTTTTTTTCCTGGATTTCCTTAAGGGTCCGTTTGGTTAGACGGAAATTTATGATGGAAAGTAAAAGTGAAGTGAAAGAAAGGAAAATTAAGTTTTTTGCATGCATTTGGTTAGTAAGAAATATTTTCAAGAAAGCTGTGAAAAAATATTATTTTATTAGTTTGGATAGCATGAAAGGGAAAAGAAAATGATTTACTTACCAAAACTACCCTCATGATTTCAAATATTGAAAAATAAATTAATTTTGTGTTGGATGAGTCATCTTTATACCCAATTATTTATATTAATTTTTAGCAATTAAATAGTAAAATAAAGGATTAATAATAATAATAATAATTATTATTATTTATATTCATATTTAAATTAGACAAACTAAGGAGGACCTAAGTCACATAATTCGCTCAAACAACTGGCGCTTCAACGCTCCGCGCGCGAATTGGCATTTTGAGAGCAAATTCGTCAAAAATTCACGCTCTTATGTTTTTGAATTCGCGAATTCTATTTAAGAATTCGCTGATTTTTAAAGTTCAATTCGACGAATTGTGTAAGGTAAAATCACGTATTTTGTTCAAGAATTCGATGACTTTTGACATTAAATTCACGAATTTAGTGTGAATCTTGAGAAATTTCGATTTTACCCCTAACTTAAATAGACCAAATAAAGTTAATTATGTCAAAAAGTAATTAATTTAATTTAATTAAGTAAACTTTGTCTAAAAATAAAATAATATAACAATATACTTAATATTTAATAGTACTTACGTAACTTAACTTTGTTAGACAATATTTATTAGTAAAGAAATAAATGAATGAATAACTTTTCATATTTTAATTGTGAATTTCTAAATCTCTGATTTCTCAATTTTCTATCTCTATTAAATGTTGGGTTTGTGATTCTTGAATTTCTTTCACTAGTAATTGACTCTTGATTCACCCTTATAGTTTTATTCTATTCCATTATTTCATATTCTCTCTGCTATTACATTTAGGGCTCTTTGAACTGAAGGAAATAGGAATAATTTATGCATTTTTATAAAGCAGTTTATATTGGTTGTAATAGACTCATATTTGATTCACTATGCTGTCTTTTTATTTGCATGAAATTTATTTAAAACATATATTTATTATTGTAAATTAATATTTTATATATTTATAATGCGGCACTCTAGCGGCGCTCCCGCTCTAAGATTTTTTGGGTTATGCCGCTCTCGCGTTCCCGCTCCCGCTCTATGTGACTTAGAGGAAGACTGCATTTTAGTTGTCAGATTCTTTTTATTTTCTATTTTTAATAATAATTATTTATATTTATATGTAGAATATAATTCATTTATCATAACATACTCATGTTTTATTATAAAATAATGGATTATTAATAATAATAATAATTATTAATTATATTCATATTTAAATTACAAAAACTAAGGAGGACTGCATTTTAGTTGTTAGATTTTTTTATTTTGTGTTTTCAATAATAATTATTTATATTTATATGTAGAATATAGTTCATTTATGATTACATACTCATATTTTATTGAATTATTAAATATATCTTTTTTTTAACCTCCCTTGAAGAAACACTAAATGGCAACTCTAGGATAAAAATTGTCATGCAAAAGTAACATATTTTATAATTCATGCATAATAATTTTATGGTTCATGC